CCAGGTTACGTATCAGAATGTGAAGCAGCCTGCTATATATTACACGGCGACCATAGCAGACTAAGCAGCCTGCTATATATTACACGGTGATTGTATCTCCATATATTGTCTATGAGGCCACAAAGCTCTGCTTGAGCCTGGGCTGTCTAGAAAAGGGCCAAAAAGGGGCTCAGAGGATTAGGAGGCAGGGAGCTTACCTTCAGTGTCCCAGCGCCTGCTGTTTGGTTTCAACTCACCAGGGTCCTCTGAGGAAATCAGGGTCCTCTTAAGGAAATGGTAATTTCCTGGTTGAGGATAAGCAGTAGGGAAGAAGGCCCTTGCTGAAGGTTATGGGCCATATTTGAACAAGTCCCAAGGTGTGCTGTATCAATTGTGGATCTGAATTGGCTTTGGGTAACTGCTAAAGTATTACAAAACCATCCCTCTGACATTATATTAGTTTGTTCTCACACTGCTATAAAGACACTACCCAAGACTGGGTAAGTTATAAAGGAAAGAGGTTTGACTCACAGTTCCACATGGCTGGGGAGGCCTCAGAAAACTTGCAGTCATGGCGGGAGGGGAAGCAGACACCTTCTTCACAAGGCAGCAGGAGAGAGAAATGCAAGCAGGGGAAATGCCAGACACTTATAAAGCCATTAGATCTCATGAGAACTCACTAACACAGTGGGGGAAACTGCCCCCATGATCCAATCACTTCCCTCCCTTGATGTGGGCTTACAGGTCCCTCCCTCAACACATGGGGATTACAGTTCGAGATGAGATTTGGGTGGGGACACAGAGCCAAACCATATCAGACATCATTCAGTTAATTCTGTTTTAATTATTGATATCTCAAAATGAATCTCTTTATCTCCTCCCCTTCTGCTTTCACCCATTCTTTCCAAAAGCATGGAGCATAGTCTTCAGCATGTCCCTGCAGTTAGAAAGTTTCCTTCCCCTTGACAAATTTGATGTATTCATCTCCTTTAATTACAGCCAGTCCTCATTACAAGTGGAATCTGTTGCCTTACTTCTATTTTATGTTGGGTTGTGTTTCATTCATTGTATACTTCTAGTGTAGCCTCACCCACTACTTTAAAATTATTTCCTGGTCTGTTTACTTTTTCTTAAAGAATCCAGTTGGAGCATGGTAAAGCTGCGAGCTCAAGCTTGAATACTTCAACTATTTGCAGAATTAAGCTCCTCAAATCACCCTCATTTAGGATTTAATTTTATTTTGGAGAGGTGTGCTTTACTCGTGTGTTTCAAGAGATCCATGATTTATAAAGTACTTTTAACACATTTCGTGCACTTCCATAGGAATGTGGCTGCCAGAGACCTGGTGCTTCCTGGGGATAGCTGGCATAGATTTGCACCACAGCAGTCATATTAAATTAAAGCTCTTGCTTCTATTGAGCCAAACCGGAGTTTAGACTCTCCTTCAGCATGATGTTCCAGGTGGCACTGTGAAGTCCGTGAGATGGCATGTGAGCTAAACTTCTGCCATCTGTGAACTAGACTTTGCTTTGGCTCAGCCGAGTGTGCTACTGTTTCAGTGTTCATCTAAATGAATTATTATATGACTAAAATATTATAAATACAAGAAATGGAGCATGTAATCACCATAAACTTTTAAAATCTCATAATAAATGTATAAGCCCTTCATCAGTGACTTCCTTCTCTTTTTCTCACATTAAAACAGTACCTTGACTACTTATAACTTATTTCCTATGCGGCCTATGAGCAGATGGCAAGGACCTTGCAAATGCCAGAATAATCATGGGCAGGTAACATGCCTGCCTGGAAGATGAAACGGTCACGGTGGAACAGTTTTTAGGCAATGAACTCATGAGCCCATCCTAGGGGCAGTGCTTTAGAATGCAGCACAGGTGAGCTTATTAACTAAGCACCACCGCCTGGTCTACAGGACAGGATAGAGGAAATTCATCCTCATTAGGGTGAGAGAGGAAGTGCTTACGAGGAGAGGCAAACAGATAAATAAGTAAATTACCTCTGCCATCCAGATGAGGAAACTGCAACAAATTGAGCACTCAGGCTTTGCTAAAGGGTTTGTATTTCTCAATTTCTCATCATGTTAGTGACCCCTTCTGGGACACCAGTGAACAGAAAAGAAACAATCCCTTGACTGTACCCCTAACAAAGCTTCTGAAAGAGAAACTGGCTGGGAGAAAAAAAAAAAGAGAAAAGAGTCGTGCATCAAAATAACATAAATCTTTTATTGAAAGTCAGTTTACTAATGTTACAATGAGAGTAACATAGAAAACCATGGTATCTTATTAGCTTTCAAAGTGAATACTAATAAAACTGCCAGAAATTTGAACCGTAAGTTACAGTGACCTTTAAAAACATCAAGATTTTGTTTACCTACAATGTAAGAACAATTTTATAACTTGAACAGCCATAAAACAAATTACACTTGCTCAGGAAAGCAGTTGCCATATACATTTCCATTGGTGTTTGCCAGAACCCCAGTAATTATTGAAATAGCTTAACGAACCTGAAATGCAGAGTAGCAGAGGAATGTTAAAATAATGCGAATCTAAGTATATACACATGATTACCTGATTACCAAAAGTGAAACCATGCTGCTATTAACACCTCCCCATGGGGTGGCTTCCACGATCTATAGATGGACATCACCTGTCAAAGGTGATAACCGTGGAAAACACTAGTGCCGACCTACTGCTGGCTAACATTGAAGCTACTATGTTTAGGTAAAACATCCAGTTTCTGAAAGAAGTTGTCTTTTGGGGGTGCTAGTTTGGAGAGGCAAGTCTTCCAGCAAGTTAAAAAAGGAGCACATGCTTAGCTATCCTGAATAAACATTTTTAAGCACTGTTGCAGTTAGTGTAAAAAAAAAAAAAGTTTTTCCATACAAAACAAAGGTGTTGAGTCATTTTTGCCCTTTAAAAAGACTGGTTGTAGAATCAGAGTTTGATTTTGTGCTGGATTAGGAAAGAAAAGTGGGGTTTCTAATCAGGCAGTGATACACATATATAATTTAGCAGGAACTTTTGTATTATTACTAAGTATTAATTCATATCAGCATTTTCTGTATTGTGTTACTTGTTCAACTTAGCACCGCTATATTTAAAGATTGGGGCTATTTGCATTTTTTAGAGCTTAACCATCCAACACAAATCACAGCCTGAAAATTCATAAAACAAGAGGCTAAGCCCTAGGGTGAATGCAGATGAGCATATTTTATATATACATATATATATATATATGTATATATAAAATATATTTTTTTACAAGAAAGGAAAATACCTTTTCTTCACAAACTCTTTGAAACTTTATTGATGATTCTGTATGTGCATTATCTTAGGAATTGGTCTCATTGTATGCCTTTTTGTAAAACAAAACCAAAAACACACATTGCCTGGTTTTGATTTCAAGGATACTTAAGAACATGAAATGATGATTACCTGATGAAAAGCCTGCCAGCCTTGAAGCTTCCCCATATGATACAGGTTCTATGAACAATGCAACAGGGATGCATCAGGCAGGAGTGACTGACCCATCATGGACTGGACCACAAAGTATTCAGAGTCAACACTCAGTCAATCTGCCAAGCACACAAGTCTGTCTTAGGCATCCAGCGCCTCTCTTCCCATCACACCCCTCATGACAATGTGTGCTCTCCTGCATATCTGGCTTCAGGAATCTTCCTGTGGATATTCATTCTGCATCTGTGCCAGGACTAAATGCCCCATGATCTCCCAAAGTTCTCTGCTTCTTATCTCCTCCCCATCCTGAAATTCACCCTCTTGGGACTCATCTCCCAGTGACTTCCTAAGTTGCCTAAGCTGCTAATGTGCCAGTGGGCGAAGATAAAGATGCCTGCCACCTCTACTCCCTAGGGCATCCTAGGGTTCTCTCAAGGGACAGTTTAGCCAAAGGAACTGACTTCCACAATAGAGAAGTTCCCAGTCAGGAGGAAAGAGTTGCATAGCTACTGAAGGGGGAGCTACATAGGAAGCAGGACGGTTCTGGAAGCATTCCTCAAAATCTCACCATGAGGATGCTTACTTGCTTGTCAGACTATGGATATAAAGGACAAAAGTACTAATTAGGTTTTTGGTTTTGAATGTTTTGTTTTTTCTGCTTACAAACAACCAGAAGATGCTCCATTTGGGGGACTAACAAAGCAATGAATAAAATGCCAATAGAAACACTCCTGTTTTCTAAAGTCCTGTCGCATCTTCGCTCTGCATCTGCAGATGTGATAGAAAAGCTCCTCTTGGAATTAAATCACCTCCCCCCAGAGCATATGCTATGAGCATGTGCCAACAATTCCCAGCAGGTATACTTTTAACAGCAGGGCTACTCACACACAGCTGGCATGGGCTGCTGCCGCTGGGCCAATTTTCACAAGAGCAGACTGCACCCCTCATTATATGACACTATCAATGGGAAACTGTTTATCAAAGTCCTTAGTTCTTCCAGGTCAGGAGAAAAGTTGCTGCTTCCAAAACCAGAGTAGTTTTATCCATTCAAAAACATCTAAGGAGGAAAAAACCCAAAACATCTCAGCCCCAAATTAAGCCCTATTCCATGGAAGTGTTTACTTCCTATACATCTTAAGCTGCAGAGCAAGAATGAGAAATTTATCTTGACTCCATACATTTAACAGAGTGGAAAGGTATTTAGGTGGCAGTTTTAGAGAAAAAAAAACCATAAAAGTTAAAGGAAAAATATAATTAGGTACATAAAAAGTAGGTATGACGGTGCAAATGGGAGTCAAGAGCGTTTCATGGAAAATTCATGCCAACTTACCAACGGTAGGGTGATATTTATGATATGCTGCCCATGTGGGCATCCAGTGGCAGCAGCCAGATGTGTCCTATCAGACTGTGCAGGCAGCTGTCTCATCCCTCCTCACTCCTGCCAGTTCCTAACTTGGCTCTCCCCTTCCCATATACTCTACAAGCTACTCAATATCCTGCCAATAAATTATCTTTCCTTTAAGTAAAATAAAGTAAAATAGTCTTTTATTTAGATAAGGATTTATTATTGTGTTAAATAATAACATAAGAAAATTTATTTAAAATACTATATATATATGGTTAAAATAGAACTACATGACAATAGGAAATGAATGGATAAAATGAACAAACCTTATTTTAAAACACTGAAAAAAAATGAATAAAAATATCATATATCTTCTGGTCCAAAGGTAACTATAAAACATAAAGAACAAAATTCCAATAAAGGTAACAGGTAAAGTAGCCATAAGAGACCTGGGACAATAGACAGGATTAAATTATGTAGATATGCAAGGGAATCAACAGAAAAGAAATGTAAGCCTGTTTTGAAATTCAAACATAAAGAGTCCTTCTTGGAAAGTGCACAGAATATCTAATTTTGTCTTTCTGACAACTTCTTTAGAAACCCTATTAATGTTACTTTCAGAAATTCTATGCCGGACTGACCTTATATACAAACACAATTTTAAAATTCTTTTTAAAGTGAGAGGGAAAAGAGACAAACTATGGCATCACTTAATAAAGCACCAATATCAAAGTGAAAAATAAGTTGGCATTTTAAGCCCACATTTGCTTTATTCATCAATATTTTTTTAAAGGAACAACTCTGATAGGTTATTCCTAATCGAAGCTCTGGGTTTCTTGTTAAAAATACAGCAACCAGAGCAAATTGAAAGCCCTCATCATGTTGCACTGTCTGATTTATTCCTTTCCACAGATTGCATGTGCCCTGGGGATCATTTCCAGCCTGCAGCGTTCAGAGGACCATGCCACTTCCCATCTAAATAAAGAGTGGCTGGATGCAGAGGACAGTTCATGTGGCCAGTCCACTCTGTAAGGACTCCCTGCTATCCCACGCCTTCCTGTTGACACTTACTGGAGAGATTTAAATGTTCCTTTAAATCAGAGTTGACTGCACTACAACGACTATGGATAAATGGAACATCTCGGGCAGCTGGGTGCCAATCTGTAGTCTTATCAATGCATCAAACTTTAGAAAGAGGGGGAAAAGGCATACAATGAAACATAAAGGCCAAATAACTGCTCTCTTCTGCTTAGCAATGATTTTTTAGTGGATTGGGAAATATAAATATTAGTTGCATGATATAAACTGTTATATGGCCTCAAAGTTTCTCTTCAAAACAGTTATTTAAAGAGAAATAATGCTGTGCTTGTATATTTAATGCTACCTACCTCAGTGGATGAAAAGTCATAAATATTTAGATGTAACGCCTCTAGAACCCCAAACCATGAGTATATATACAGATACTTCTTGAAACTCTCCCTTGAGACTATAAATTTGTCAATGAATCCCACAAATGGCTCTAAGAATGTTTAAACATGGGAGATAGAGTAGATTCCAAGAATAGAACATTAAAGTTACTGTATACCTAAAATCATAATCTCTAAAAATAAAACATAAAAATTTTTATTCAGTTCCACAGGAAGGTGGAGCTTCCAAAGAGGGTAATTACAAACTATATACCTCTAGAGCAACCATGTCTCCCAAAAGGCACATGATAATGATTTTCATTTGAAATAATAATTTCATGTAAAAATAACTGAGGTGAAGGAAGAAAGACACATGGATGGATGATAGACAGAGATCTGTTAACTTCTCAGCTAGCCATTTGTGGATTCTTTCAAATTAGAGTTTGTGTACCTGTAACTAGGAAGCATATTTACATGAGGCACCTTATATTCAAATCTATAAACTCTTTTATAGTCAAAATAAACCTTATAGCATTAGCCTTTTATACACTCAATACCAGGAAACATTCAGTGCACGTTACAGTGATCTTGGTAAAAAGTCACTTTATTTGCTACATCTTTCAATCTGTCTGCCCTTCTGTTCTTGGCTTGAGCTATGTGGCAACAGTGCCCAACACTCACCCAAACCTTGGCCTGATGGATCACTTTACGGTCATATTAACAATCACATCCCTTCCTGTCATGAAAAATGCTGTTTTACATTATGTAATTTTGGATCATTAAATTGTTTTCCAACCATTTCAAAGACTTTCAAAAGAGAGGTCCATTACCGAAGACATAAACACAAAGCACAAAATGCTGCCTTCTAACTCGGCCCTTCAGTTTGGGCATCATATGTAATCAATTTGATTACATATGAAGATGATATGGATTTTGTCCATGGATACTATGGAAGAGGATCAAATTTAGAGATTATTTCTGAAACCCTGTCTGCAGGTTCCATACCTCTTAAGAACACACAGAAAATTAGCAAATCAGAAGTATACTTCAGAGCAGACCATGTGATTGAGCCCATCAATCTCCAGTCTCACTAGGGTAGCTAGCTTTCTTTTGGAATGACAGATCTGCCATTATAACAGTTATCAAACTTTGGTTTTAAAGAAGGGTCTTTTAAAATAGAATCCTATTTTCCTATGGATTAAAAAATATATGGTTCAAAGCATCAGATTCTTTCCCCCTGCCAGCTGTTAGTGTAGCTCTGCAGTTGCTGCATCTCTGTGGTTTAGATCTAACTTAACCCTTTATGAACGGTTGAGGCTACCCAACTCAAACAGTAGAATCTTCCATCATCTTGCTCCAGAGTGAGTGCAGAATGACTTGTTGGGATTCACATCCCAGTGATGATAAATATTCTTAATCAATAGTGTCAAAGTTGTTTTTGTTAAAACAAGTCATTCATTTCACAGATAAGGGTGACTGAAAAGTTTTGTCAAGGAACAAAACTTCAGGCCACAAAGGGTTAGAGTATTGGCAAGTCAGAAGCTACCAGCTCGCTGGCAGTACGTGGTCTCATGTGTCTTTGGTGCACTTGCTTAATCTCAGCAGGACACATTGCTGAGGGGCTGGCTCACTGGGATGAGATGGGATGGATGGATGGGATGGATGATGTCCAGGGAGCTGCCCATCGGGAGCAGAGTGGGCTCCTGCATCAGCAAACTGTGGAGGCCAGAAGTTTTGCTGGGCATTTAGTTCTCTCACTCAATTACTTACTCAATAAAACTGCGCCTCCAGACTGTGCACAGGTTAAAGGGATATCACATGTTTTAGACAAATACCAATTATGGAGAGACACATTTACAGCACTGACCACTATATTTACATTACCTGCTTATAGTCTTTGAAGATCACTGGATGGATGACGATGATGTGATTGTGACTGAATTTTTAGGCATTTGGCAAAATACACTTGTGTGTAACAGCTGCATTTTTTTAAATTTTAAAAATGTTACATATATACAATTGTCCTTGTATGCTAATATAAATATGAAAAGTAAAAAACAAAACAAAAATTAAAATACATGTTTAAAGTTAGCCTATGGGATATTGGCCTCTCAAAGCTTTAAAGTCCTGCAGAAAAATCCTATATGCCTTAGCCCTGCATGCTCGTTTCTATTATGGGATGTTGTTTCCTTAAATATGGAAAACAATAAACAGAAGCTTCATGCATATAGCATTAGTGTTTACAGTGAGGATGTGCTTCAGAACATCAAGTTCTGAATCCACTATTGTCCCTTAGGAAACTTGCTACATTTGGGTCATGTGAGTTAACTTTATGGATATTTCTACATCTTATCTGTCATGCGGATTATCTGTTAACATACCAGTACCTTTATTGTTCCATGTTATAGTGTAACATTTCAGTAGTTCTTTTCATGATTCAGTTAAACCCTAAGCCAATGACAAAAAGAAAATGGTAACCAGATGTGAGACTCCACTTCCTCTCCTCTGTAGCATCTCAGAGGGTCTTCGTATTGTCTGAAGAGCAGATAGATTTGCAGTGATTCCAAGAGCCTGGGTTTCTATAAAAGTTGAAGTAAACAGTTTTCGATGTATCACATGTAAACAGTTGATCTTAAATGGATGTCTCCCATAGCTGCACAACAGAAAAGAGCAAAATTGCACATTGTGAAAGCAGGAAGCAGATGTATTCTGAGTAGGAGATGAAAAAGATTCAGTGATTCCATCCACACATATGTGACTGTGGATGCACACTCTTGCAAAGTCTAAAAAGTGGATAGAATAAACACTCCAACTTTTAGCTCTCTCTTTCCTCAAAACCTGTGTCTCAACCTTTTCAACAACAGCCATCTTTTGATACAAAAACCATCACATCCTCATTTAATGTTACTAAAATTTTGAATAAATATTGTGTCTCAAATGAAATAAAAGAATTTAAAATACTATTTTTTTAGCTATACATGCCCTTCCTTTCCCCAGGATTCCGAGACAGCCAGCTAGAGCAGTGGTTCTCAACCTCAGCTGCACATTACATTAATCTGGGGAGGTTTCTACAATTCCGCTTCCCAGGCAGCACACCAGACCAACTAAATCAAAACCTCTCTGGGTGGGACTCAGGCGTAAGAATATTTTAAAAGCTTTGCAGATGATTCCCTTGTGCAGCCACAACAGAAAACCACTGACATCAGGGAAGTGTGAGTTCATCAATTCCACCATCACCCACTTGAAAATCATTGCCATACACTCCAATTCTATCACTACCTCCTTAAAAACGGTTCTCTCTCATGAGCTGAGGTATCACAGTGGAATGATACATTCAAGGCAGGATGTCCCTTCATTCATGCTGTCCCTCCTACCCTCTCCTTGCTTTTGCCATGAGGTCTTTATATTGGCCCTGTTCAGATCAAATTTCTACAACGTTCAGCAATCACCTTAATGGACTAATAACAAGTGTGACATGATCAGATATGAATGCAACTCAGTTCACCAGAAAAGGAAGACCAATTTAAAAAGAAGATCAAGCTGATGAAATATGTTTCCAGGCAATATAATTTAGATATAATTATTATAAACATAAACAAAGCCTATGACCAGAGTGACTTAGGTTGTATCCAATTTCCATCCACATTCCATTTTTACTAGACATTTGATATATGTCACTGTATATATAATGAGTTTCTGGGAAAGAAAAAGGAGAAAAAGCCAAGTGATTAAGTAGATGTTTCTATACAGGTTCCCTTAATATGTTCTCCCAAATCTTCATGGAAATCTTGTTCTGAATGCCCAAGTCTGCCTACCCCACAGGACTGTGGTAAAGCCACCATCCTATCTACCTTAGGTCTGCTTTATATGTCCTTTTTATTGAAAAGACGCCAACCCCTTGGAAACCAAATGAATATCTGAACTGTGGGGATCTTCGTGAATGGGTGACACTGGTGGTGGAGAGGAGTTAAATGGGGCTTGTGGTGGGTCTGGAGCAAAGATGATCTCAATTGATGCTCAGATGATAGTCTGGAGGGCTAAAGGGTTTGGACTCTGGCCTTGGAGAGCTGAAGTTTCCTCAATATTTTTTTATAAAGATTAAAAATAATATGTGACAGAAAGGAGAAAGAAGGGAGGGACAAATGAATAACATTGGGAAAAACCTGAATGTCATGACTACCCCAGTGGGATAAAATGAGCAACTGCCAAGCATCACTTTCAGCATGAGGCATGCCTTGGCCCACACCTATGTGGTGGTAACAGAGGGGCTGCTGATAGGAAGATCTGCTTGTTCCACTCTCCACAGCCCACAGAGACATCCCAATGATAGGGGCTGTGTATTTGGTAGGATTCTGCCACATGCTTATGTGGCTGTTCCACAGTGCATAGAACAAATCAGACCTTTCACGTAACAATCACAGCAGCCAGAGTCTTTGTAGTCATCTGCTCAGCCCAGGAAAGGGGCCATGGGCCAGCCATTTTTTCTGGAGAGCTATCGTTTTTACAGGCTCTTGTGTGGTAATATCTCCAATAACCCAAACTCTGACATGACAACAGCTGAGGGAATGTTCCTAACTTGATGGAGCAAAACAGGGATACAGACAATTTAGCAGAAAGAAAGTCGGGTGCTACACTTAGAAAATTCTTTGAGGAGGGCAGGAATGACACCAGTCTCAGATTTCATTATCACCCATGACATCATGAACAACTAGATATCTATCAAGAAGTCTTCTGTTAATTCAGATAGCTGAGTGCTGGGAATCTGAATTGTCTTGTTATCTTTTACCATTTCTCATATTAACATACAATGGTAATTTTTTATTATTAACAAAACACTGCTGGTAGTTTTTAAAGACTTTTGGATTATAGTGATCTACACCGCTTTTAATTATTTGTGCCGCCTTACTGACTCTGAGTTAAATTAAAATTTGAATGATCCACGTTTACCTTGAACCACGTAATTTAGGTTTGGGATCAAAGAGATTCTGAAACATCTCTTAAGACCAAAAAGTCTAACCAGCAGCTAAAACTGACGAGGCTTATAAGCTTTATTTTATTTTTTTGCAACATTATTTCTAAGAAGATCAACATTACAGTGTAAATGACCACAACAGAGCCTGGACATCAATAAAGGTAATTATTCTTTGGTTGTATCTTTCACTTAAGTCTCTGAGGGCCAGTCTGCCTCTCTCAACTCCACTGTATCTCCAATTCTACATACTGATATGTTTCAGGAATGTTGTGAGACAGAGTGGCAGTGTGATTAAAATGTAAAAGGTGACATAGAAAAATACAGTGTTTTGTTTACTCAAGGTTGTACTATATTAGCTATAATAATATATAAATATAGAGCAATTAATTACACAAAATGTATCTAGGCTATATCAATGTAGATTGAACTATTTGCAAATATAAATCTGAAGCCAAAAGTCCCAAGAATCTCCTTATTTTCAAGTTTGATTTTTTCATTTTCTTAGGAACAAGGGAGGAAAAATGGTTCTCTCTTTTATAAACTCATAGATAAATGATAATGACTGAGCATGTCAGCACATGAAAGAGGTTTCCACATACCCTTGCACTTTGTCGGTTCACTTTCTTCTCCTCATCAGGAAGTGGAGGCATTGGGTAAGGGTATTTTCTGCTGGAGGCAATAGACCCAGTTGATGAAGAAGGAGACTTGGCAGGAGATAAAGTCCTGAGATGTTGAGAACATGAAATAAACATCATGTGATTGCCTAACAATTTTCAAATATCTGAAAAGTGGGGTCAGAACAAACCCTCTGACTTCTAACTTTCATATGCCACTACTGCAAAGATTTAACTACTGGGAAGATATTCTGTCATTCTCAACAGTGAAATGCTGCAATTTTATCTTCCTAATTTCATGACTGCGATGGATTATTTAAATGTTAGTACATAGAATGATACTTTTAAACTACAAGCCACTAAAAATGTATCCTATAGAATAGATAAAAAGCTAAAATGGAGAAGGGATGAAATTATTCTAAGAGCTTATAATGGTAAATTACATGTATAAAATATTAATATTGTGCCTTATTTTTACCACTTAATGTAAAAATGTTTAAGTACAATAATTCCAATTTTCTCTTAAGATCTCAAAATCCATTACAATTGATATATTTATTAGTTGCTAAATCACACACCAGTTTACACAACACTCATGCATTCAGAGGCCAGTGTGTTAGTTGTGAAGGAACAAAGGCAAATACAGGGCTTTTAATAAATTAGTAAACATGCAAGCAGTAAGGAATGCAGAGTTCCAGCCAAATAAAGTATGATGAGAACATACAAAAATGGTCTAATTAGTCCCTACCATGAGCATTTCTATGTAAGCTGTTGGTGTATTATGCTGTACTGGATTGGTTTTGCATGTGTAGTGGTAATTTGTGACTAAGCTGAACATACTAGACAAGCCCATATCTATTGCTAACTTGTCTTTAAAGTGAAAAAAAAAAAACACACAGCTGAGTAAAAAATGTCTACTCATAACATATCAATGAAAAACAGATGTGATAACTGTAGTACCTATTCCATTCACAAACGTTACCACTACACATCCACTGCTCCTTAATCCCTGGTGCAAGGTGGTAAAAACCCATATTGCTGAACTGGTTACACTGCCACATTACAGCAGAAGTATTTATTTCAGTAGAATGTACTTCATCTGCTATGACTGATCCAGCCTGGGAATGTTGGCTGGGAGGGGTGGGGGTAGCATTGGGTAGGTCAAGATCTACTGCCTAGGCTGCATTCAATAGCATAAAGTTGTCTTTTTTCCTCCCTTGTTTTAAATTTTGGTTTGCATGCATACATTATCCTTTGCTCTGGTTCTGACATAGTTTTCATACTAATTTCCATTTTATGGACACTGAATTCAAACTAAAGTTTGAAAATAATTTTTCCTATACACCCAAAGATAGTAGTAGTGAACATTCTTGATAGATTTTAAGAATGAAGAATGGTACAATTCACTTTTAATCTGTAACTCCTATTTTTGAAAAATGGCTAGGACCACTCCTTTGCCTGAATGCTTAGAACACAGCAGCTCTTTGATTTCTCCTATGTTAATGCTCTTCATTGCGGAGTGGATGGGTGTAACTAATACTAGTACTTCAAATTCTCTAAAGTTCTATTAAAGCAATGTACTACTTCATATTTTTTAATTGAGAAATTAATTTTTTTATTTTAGAAAAACACTTTAAATAGGACTATGATCTTTAAGAAACAAATTTGGTACATGTAAGATGATGACAAACTTCTGCATTTAGATACTTCTGCATCTTTCTAAAATGAGGACTGTTAACCTGGCATCAGTTTTTCAGCCTAATCACTACTGATAAAATATCCAAGTTTAGGAAAGCTAGTAAGGTACACAAACAAATAATTAAACCTTGTTTACTTTAGGGGATCATGCAAAATGAGGCATCTTTTTAATCTGCTGCAGCATGTGTGTCCACACCATTAGCTATTAGCTTTTAGCTTCACAGTCATTCCAGCTTAAAGCTGGAATGCTTGGCCATGGGTCCAAATGGCCAGCCTGGAACATGTACAAAGCCATTCCAATGAGGGGTGCTGAAGGTCCAGTCTTCCCCTCAAATATCTTCCTATGGGCAAAGCCAATTAAGTTAGAACAAAAACAGGAGATTTTCTCCAGAATCCCAAAGAAATTGCACATATACTTCTTCTTAAAATAACACGCTAGTTAATTGACACCTTGGACCCTGAGGGGAAGAAAAGAAGCTGAGCAGGAAAGTTTTAGCAGGGGAAAGGGTCCTGGAGGCGGGTATAAAAGTGATTATCTTGGGGGGATGAGAGCACCAAAGCAGGAGTCAAAACAGAAGAATAATAACATGCTTGTTAATTGGCATCTTGGACCCCGAGGGGAAGAGAAGCCCAGCAGGAAAGTTTTAGCAGGGGAAAGGCTCCTGCAGGCTGGGTGGTATATGGCAGTATAAAAGTGATTATCCTTGGGGGGATGGAGAGCACCAGAGCAGGAGTCAAAACAGGACTAGATGCCATGATAGCATAAAACACTTTAGGGAAAATAAACTCAAAATGTCTCACAAATGTCTAAGGAAGACATTTCTTCAAAACTATCTCCAGGCTCTTTTCTGACCTTGATTGACTACTTGCCTGGCAGTTCCAGCCTGGCTTTCACCTAAAGCCAGGCACCAGCACAGCTCATTCACTTAAAAAGTAAAGTGCATCACTGGATACAAGTCAACCATTATTATTACTGCATTTTATTTTATTTTATTTTTTGAGATGGAGTCTCACTCTGTCAACCAGTCTGAAGTGTAGTTGGTGTGATCTCCGCTCACTGCAGCCTCTGCCTCCTGGGTTGGAGTGATTCTCCTGCCTCAGTCTCCTGAGTAGCTGGGACTATAGGAGTGTGCCACCACGCTTGGGTAATTTTTGTATTTTTAGTAGAGACAGGGTCTCACCATGTTGGCCAGGCTGGTCTCAAACTCCTGACCTCAAATGATCCACCCACCTTGGCCTCCCAAAGTGCTGGGATTATAGGCATAAGTCACTCCGCCCAGCCCATTACTGTATTTTAAAAAATGATAATTACCATAATGGATACCCTATTAGAATTACACAATAAAAGTATGTTTGTGTGCCAGTGGATTGTGGTGCCTCTTGGGGCTACATCAAACTTCCTGGGATTACCTTCTGTATATATGCCTGTAAGGCCAACCTCAGTTCAGTTCTGCACCCACGGACAGGCTAAAAACCAGGCCAGTCACATGGAGAGGGACACAAGTCCAACTCTTACTCACTTGTGTTCATATGTGAGTTTTATAGTAGGTTGATCCAGGAAAATTTGTTATTTTATTTTTATTTATTTTTTTGAGATGGAGCCTCGCTCTTTTGCCAGGCTGAAGTACAGTGGTGTGATCTCAGCTCTCTACAACCTCCGCCTCCCAGGTTCAAGCAATTCTTCTGCCTCAGCCTCCCAAGTAGCTGGGATTACAAGTGCGCACCACCACACCCAGCTAATTTTTGTATTTTTAGTAGAGATGGGGTTTTACCCTGTTGGCCAGGATGGTCTCAATCTCCTGACCTCGTGATCCGCCCACCTCGGCCTCCCAAAGTGCCGGGATTACAGGCATGAGCCATCATGCCTGGCCTAGATCCAGGAGAATTTGTTAAGTGTACTAAGGGAGGATTCAAGTCATCAGTATCCACTCTGCTACTTTTAATTAAGGTGAAATGGAAAAGGTACAGATTTTGGATTCAGAGCCAGGCTCTAGTTCTGGTTCTGACACTTACTAGCTGTGCCACCTTGAATTACTCTTTGTACCTCAGTTTCCTCCATCTACAGAAAGGTAATAGGAATGCCTACACCTTAGGATGTGAGGAATAAAGATATATCGTAGGCACTTAATACACGATAGTTGTAATTATTCATTTTCTTTCAAAGTCACCAAAAATTCCATAGAATCATGGAAGTGGACTCGAAAACCCTGATGAAGTGAGTAATCAATGGGATAATACCCGAGAGTAACGATACCTTCTGAAAGCTTATAACAGAACTGCATCCAGGATCTGGGTGTGGCAAGATAATGCACTTGTCCTGATCTCACTTGCTTCTTCCTGGTGGCCCGAATTCATGCAGAGAACAATCTGAGCAACCACTGTCATATCGAAACTGGATAAGGGGGCACAGCAGAGGCACTCTCATCACTCAATATCTATTTAGGAATTTGCCTTGCTCTCTCTAGCAGTGTGGCTACTATATTTTAAATGCTGGACTATATTTTGAACCAGTTTGCTGCAGATTGCATTTTGATAAGGATGCCACAAAGCCAACACCACATGGCTGTAATCCCAGCACTCTGAGAGGCTGAGGCAGGTGGATTGCTTGAGCCCAGGAGTTTGAGACCAGCTTGAGCAACACGGTGAGATTACATCTCTACAAAAAACAATAAGGTGACTTTTGCCCTCACTGGTGATTTTGAAAGGAAGGGTAATCCTGAATGACCTGGCCACAGATGAAGCAGATCTGAGCCTAAGCATAGAGTTGGCAAGGCACAAGCCAAGCTGTGGAAGCACTTTGGGGCTCCTATGTGAGGCTTGGCTTGGATAGAGAGTGGATGAAATTGTCCCTTGCATTAGAATCACTGTGTTAAACGTTCTGGGCCATGTCAATTATTTACCACCACCACAGAAATGCTGTATTGAATTTCAAATCTTATCACCTGTGTTAACCCAAAAATGAGTTAAATTATAACTGTCCACAGAACTTTAACCTTTAAACATAAATATGATTTTTAACAATTAATTCTTAATTTCACTATCTACTGTAGGAATCAACATCTCATATTAGAATAGAAAATAAAGGAGCCCTCTAAAATTGTCCTTGCAGTTTTGCACGTGCAACCGGGGTGCTAAAGCATTTCCCCATCCAAATTGCATTTAGTCATGCGGCTTCTGGGCAGACCTGGGTGCTGATTTTAAGAAAAGTGACCTCTTTCTCTGAGAGCCACATAAACTACTCAGTTCACCCAGGGGAGGTGAATCAACTCTTCCGGGGTACCATTTCACAAATTATTGCTGCAAAAATGCTAAATCCATTTGGGAATGAAAACCCTAACCTATATAGGACCAAAGTCATTCTGTTTTGGATCCATGGCTGGTACAAATTACAATCTGCCCACAAGCCTGAGGAAAATAGAAAGGAGAAATAGGACTGCAGGTGAGCCAAGATTCCAAATAACAGTCAAAATCATCTTACCTGTCTTCCTGATGTTGGCCATCTTGGGAGCTACAGACGAGGGTGGGATGTTTGAATGTGAGTGTATGTGTATGAGGTTCAGTGTGGGAAAGTGTGGGACAAGCAGAGGGGCAGGGTAGGAGGGAAAGATGGGGTATAAAAGCAGGATATATTTTTATGAGCAGGCAGGAGTTATGCTTTCCTTGGGGCGTATGCAAATGTTATGGATCGAATTAAAAGGCAGGTAGGTCTAATCATTTTCTCAAACTATACATAACTAAACTAAATGGTACACTGGAAGAGAGAGTCCACCTTATATGGGTGCTGAGAGTTAAAAACACATACATATTTTGATATCCGTTCAATGTTGACCCAAGACATGGCAATCAGTAACATGAAAGTTTATTGTAAAATTGTGTTCAGAAGAGGTAGTAATTGAGTACATATTTCTCCTTTACCTTAGTTGTCCACAAAGTAGTCAGATATAAAGTGGACATTTACCTCTAGGAAATCACTTTACTAGAAAGGGTGAAAAATGCCATTAAGAACGCTTGGAAATTCTTTCTGACCTGTAAATGTCACACAGAGTTGCAGTGAATTGAGTAAATTTGATAGTTTCTAAAATGTAGCGATATTCTTCTATTTTGTGAGTCAAGAATATATTTCCAGCTGCTTCCTGTTCTATTTGAAGTATTAGATGACAACATTTTTATTAGCATAAAAAATTCCTTACATGCTTTGTTGAGAATCTGTAAAACACTTCTCAGCACAGCCTTTCTCTGGTAGGAAATGGTTATACTGAACAAATAAAACCTAAACTCATTCCACATACTCCCATGGGGTCAATGTTGTCTCAGTAATTTTCCAGTTAGACCAAATCATTGTTTCTATCCAAGTAAAATCCCATCACATTTCACTTAGTTTCTTTATATGTTTTTCCTTGAATTTTTGTATACACTATGCACTCTTAGGCAGTAAGTAGGAAAAATGCATTATGAAACTGCTAGATTATAGAAACTAAATTGTTCAGGTTAATAGTGCTTCTTTATTAGTGGAAAGTATGTTTCATGCCCATAGAATACTACATAGCATAAAATGAAGAGAAAGCTACTAAAAAGCTTAAGATGGTGATAGGGACATGCACTAAATGGCAACCCTTTCAAATGGCTTTATTTGAAACATTCAGAAAAGAACCAGACTTGCTCACGAAGCAAAAACAGAGTCAAAAGGCAGCAAATAAACAAGGACCCCTTTCCACCTATAGGAACTTGTATTGGGAGATACAAGATAGAGAGCCAGTCACACTACAGTATTTGTATGTGCTGGGAGAGTTTGAGAAGGATATAAAAATTAATTTATAAAATACCTAAAGTATGGTCCTTCAGTGTTTTTATTCACATCTTCTACCCACTTAGCTACATTATAGTCTCTTTTGAACCATGGGTTTAAATACCTGCAGAAAGCAATGGAAGGAACAAAGAAAGCAGAACAAGATAGAAAATCTGAAAATACACAGCACAAGCTTAGCAAGGATGTCTTCACCCTCCAAATGCAAGTGACCATGGCAAATAAACCAGAATGGATGTTGGGTGATTATGAGGCAGTCTATACAATGACATGAGAATAATCTTAGCTACAACAAGGCTCAATCAAGGCATTCTACAATGTATTCAACATTTCTGGGAAAGCCTTTTCCAGTGGCTTCCCAAAGTGAATTAGAATCTCCCTTTCAATCACAGTACAGTCAGCAGTCCCATTCACCCACCTCCAAAGTGGCTTTTTCCAGGCCACCTCTCATTTGGCTCTTTGGTTTTTAAATGACAATGATGCTTTTTGAAAATATTCAGATGGCTGCAACTCCAATCTGGCATTTGGGCATACAACACCCTAAGAACAATTAAAAGGAACAAAATTCTCTTTCCAATATAAGAAGGCTTTTACATGACCACTGTCTTACTCCCTAAAGAGGATCCCAAGCTGGAGTCAACATGAAAGTATGTTCCAGTTGGCTCTGTAAGGAGCAGATAGGGTCCCACTCTTTTGATCCTGGAGCCTCAATGCGCATTAAGTGTGGTCTAAATAGGCCTCCATGATCTCGAAGCTGGATTTAGTAATTTAGTTGCAGCTGCAGTGTTCCTTCCTCTTCTTTGTGCACTCCAAAATAAAGTGCTCATGTTTCCATTAGGAACCAACCCTCAGAGGTTGCCTTCCAAGTGTCTGACCATGAATTGTGTGAATGACTGCCAGAGAATAATAACGAACTTACTTAGCATTTCCCTGATGGATCTGGCAATGTTTCCATCAGAATTACTGTGCAAATTTTAAAGGTAATAAAACTGTAGGGAGGTCTAAGTTGTTGGTTTTCCCCAGAGTTCCCTTTGATTTTTACCCTGGGAGCCAAGCAAAAATACATCCCCTTCAGAGTCTGCCCTTGTGAAATAATGTAGATTTAACAAATTCTACTTGGAAGAATTTGGAGGTTTTCTTTTTTTCTTTTCTTCATTTAAAAAGTAACTTCTAGAGATACTATAGACAATAAAGATTCAAGCTCTATAAAACATAAGTTATTTGTAAACAAACCAGGGGAAATTATAAAATACATTATTTATTTTTGGTTACATTTTGCTTCTTTCCCCCATATTTAGTTATTGAGCTGTTCATAAATATGGAAGACTACATTTCCAATTACATAAAAATATCAGGTTATTTTTTCCACAGCCCTTTCCCTCAGTCGAGGTACTATACAAAATAGCATTGTGAAATTCCCTTCTGAAAGAAGGGTTCAATTGCTTTTTCTGCTTATAAAACCATTTTTAGTATCTCCTGACTCAGAAACAACTCACACTAGTTTTGCCTTTAGCCACAATCATTGCCAACTTGTGCTTTCACAGATAGCCAATTAAAACTTGCATAAAGATTTCCATTGAGATTCTCAACAAAAAGAAAAAGTCAAAAAGCCAAGTGCAGCCACAAATGAAGGCTAGTAATGCTCTGGCCTGGGGAAAACCGTAGAAAAAGCCCATGCAGCTGTAATCAGGTGAAACATAGCCACACAGCAAAGTGAGTCACCCAAAGGCAGACGGCCACTTCCGGGAGGAGACATTTGTTCCTTTCACTGACAGTCTTAGAAACTCAAAGGACTGCTGCCACAGCTATTCCATGAATGCTACAACGACATGGGTTGACTTGCACTTGATGGACTTTTTTCTGTTTCAGGGAGCATTTCAGAAGGCTGTGGTCACTTCACCATAGAGTTCTTCACTGAAAAGAACTCTCAATTTTGTGTTCTTTCTGGGGATCTGGCCATAAAAATGTCTTCACGGTGAGCTTCCTGACATCTCAAGGTCATGGCGGCTGAAGTGATGGGATTCTATCACATTGCAGTAAATCTACCTATGTGGCTTGCCTTGGCATATAGCGCAACATGCAAAAAAAATGCGTTAGATGGGATAGGGGAGCTCTTTGTGTTTTCCAGGATGGAAAAGCAAAGGAAAATTAGCTGGTGCTGGCTGGACCAGGAGCACCTCCAAGCAAACATGGGGGCTCGCTCAAAGATCAAATGACCCTGTTCTCAGCCAAGGAAAGGACTTGGAAGGAGATTAAGTGGCAGCCCAGAATGAAGGGGCAGGTGGAGACTGACCTGTGATCCAGACTCCCTGTCTGGGGGCTGTCAGAGCCCCCTGGGCTTATGCCTTGGGATGGGACTGTCTGGGCGAGGGAGTGCCCAGGCTCAGGTGCTTGGGGCTCCCTCCTGTAAAAACACAATATATAATACAAAGTCTAAGCCAAAAAAATTTTTATATCATTTACAACAATGAGGAAGATGCAAAAGTTTTGACTGGAAAAACAATACAATATATGAGGACATTTTATTTTGTTAATTAGCAGAGCATGTATTTATGGCGCATGTTTTAATTCATGTCTCAATTTTTCATCATCTTTTGGAATAATGAGGTATTAAAGGGAATTTTGAGTAATGGACCTGAAATATCTCTTATTTGAAAAAACAAAAGAGATATTTGTGATGAATTTGTTCCTCTTGTAGTCACACAAATGGTATTATACTATCAGAAGCAAATGGGATTAAATATGGAAAGTATTAAAAGTTTGCAAACATAATTCTTGATATGCTACGTATCAGGAATCCTCGTAAGAAAATATATACGTGTGTGTGTCTGTGTGTGTGTGTGTATATATGTATATACGTATGTATATAGAGAGAGACAGTTCCTATACAAGAAGGTATGTGAGAATTGTGGTCAGCTTTACAGACTTGAATCCATTTAATTAACACGAGTCATGTAACCAAAATCAGAAAAGTCTGAAAAATCTGAGGAAGTCCTTAATACTTCTCCCTCACAAAGATGAACCTATTATAATGTCATATTAAATATTATAATTTAATTATCTCATAGGCAAGATTTCTCAAAGGCTATCTGCAGTATTACAATTTTAATCATACAATGTGAGTGGAAATTATACATAACATTTTAAAAAATAAGTAAATGTTCTAGAAAACATCGTATGAATATTGTTAAACACCAAATGTGCTTTCGGTCCTAAGCTCACAGCTTTAACATAGTACTGATTTTTTTTTTTAACTTAGGAGTTTTTGAAGCCTTGTTATAGGAAATGCTGTTAGAACACTAAACAGTACACAAGGAACTTCTAAAGAACATTTTGCAATTTTATCTGTACACCTGTGAGCAACTAAGATAAGTTAAGGAGCTCTTACTAGGTGACCTCATGCAAAACAAACCAAACAACATTCCAAGAAGAGTTTATCAACAATGAGCCCTAAAGCATACAAGTGCTTTGGGAATGGATAAGATAAACTCTAACACATTAGTTATTTATGATGGAATTCTATGATGCCATTCTGGACCATGCAATGGTATCACTTGAAATTGTCTATTGTGTCTATAAAGTATCCTCTAGTAAATGTTGACAAGCCACTTACAAGACAATACCATTCAGGTGGAAGGTCCAAATTTCAGGGCAATGTTATTATTCCTGGACTGAAAAAGGCAGGGTATATGATGGAAAAGCTAACATAAGTTTTTGACAAGCAGTTAACAAATACCTGCTATTCAGACTTTCCAAGTATTAAGGCGTGAAGAAGCAATAGAGTTCCTGGAAATAATAACTATCACTACAGTGAGAAATAAGTAACAAGTTTTAGGAAGGATAAAATAGAATGGGTAAAAAAAAAACCAGGTGGCAAGTTCAGTCCAAAAGGATACTAAGGATGTGTTTTATTCCATGAAGGGAGATAAAGATTTGAGGAGGTTTTGTTTTCCTTGTACTTTCTTAAGTGGAGAAACCAACAAAACAAGTACACTATTTACTTCATTATAAATGACTTTAAATGTGACTTCCAAACCCATCCCCCTTAAAAGAAAAAAAAAGGTAAATGCATGGCTATCATTTAAAACAGATAATGTCGCATTTAGTGACAATGATTCAGTTAAAGAGCAAGTTTAGGAAAATGCCCTTTTAAATGTTCTATCTGAGAACATTTAAAAGGGAAACTTATTCCATAAGTCTGAGAGAATGCTTAGATTGCAGCCATGAAGACCTCATAGTGGTGGTTTCAGATTGTGAGCAGTATCATGCTCTAGTAAAATGGGAATTTTTCCCTGATGCTTACAGGCTGTGTGAGTATTGGGGAGAGGAAGGGTGACCCTTTGAAATGGTTGAATCCCAGATGATGAGAAGAAAGGAATGTTATCAAATTCCCTTCATACAGAACCAAGACCCCACAATGGCAGGTGACTGGAGGAAAAAGCCTGCAGCAAGGGTGAGACCCCCACTATCAATGCATATTGGTATGGGCGCAGTTGCGGAGATGCCTATGTAAAAGAGAAAAGCCATGGTTAATTTTTAAAGGGCAAAAAAGAATTTAAAAGATAAAAGCAAGACCGAAGACATGGTTTACAGTTCTTTGACTATCTGCTTAATTTACTTTTGACACTATTCGCACAGGACCTTGGAGTGCCTTTTTTTCATTAGAGGTTCAGACTTACTCAGTTGAATTAGACCGAGGTCTAAATCTTTTGCCTCTGATTTTCTTTTTGTTGCCTCCCAGGTTACCTGAAAAAGATGGTTTAGAGCTAGATTTCCATGTAAATAAGTAATTGCCCTATGTCTAATTACGAGGCATTTCAAGTGGGTGTAATTTATAAGCAGCACCACTGTGAAACACTGAGTTTTCACACTGTGCAGCTTTCTCAAATTAAATTTCACAAAGTGTATAGTGTCCTGGCGCTGCCGAATCCCACCATTTCCCATCCAGATAAAACCTAGGCTCTCATTCTACATATTCTCCTCTCTGTTGGGACAAAAGCTAAAGAGCTTCCAAGAAATGAAAAAGTCTTTACAACCAGGGGCCACAGAATATAAAATTGAATTGTGTGGACAGATGGATTCAGAATGCCAACCTCTACCTTGCCAAGAGTTACTTCGAGGTCGCCCATTTTCACAGATGTCTGAAATATGTTTTGTGTCTGGAATCCTTTCACTCCAAGAATGAGACAACCCATTTGACCTGAAATTGAAAACATTGATAAATTGTTCAAAAATGTAACCAAATGAATGTTTTGAGATCAGTAAGCAAAACTTCTAAGCATTACTGTGCATTAAATAAAATAAGAAAGAAAAAATCTGAAATGAAAGAATGAAGAGAACATGAAAGTCTTCATGAAGAAGGCAGAATTACACAACATCCAATTTAAGAAAAGTCAAATACAATGGAACCCCATTACAATAGTATATAAATGAAAAGTATCAAGACACAATGCAAGCCAATTTACATTCCCCAGAACGCAGCAACCACAGAGCAAATTCACTATGTATTTCAGCATAACCCCAGCAGCAGAGTTATAATGGGGTCCCACCATAGATGTTTCTTAATTGTAAAGCAATGGTTTCCACTCAAATATTATGAGAACATGGACTTCCAAGAGATTACATAAAGATTTGCTCAAGTGAACCTGGTTAACATTTATCAAAGCATTATTTAGATTTTCTTAAGTAATAAAATTATTTTCTAAGAATTGGCATTTTTTCCCACAAATATGGTCCAAAAAAGTGCAGTACATGTTGGCTAATTGTTCAATAACTGAACTGAATCAGATGTTTATCATGACAGTGCCTCTCACAAAGCCCATGTACCATCGAGCCCACCTATTTGGGTCCTACCATCTTTAAATGAATTATCTACAAGAAGCAAAATTTACACACCTACCTTGTACCACACAAGAATTTTAACAAGCTACATATACTTCAGAGTAAAGTCTTAACAACTTTTAGCTGCTTAAGAATCATAACCCACTGAGATTTTTCTAAAATCTGGGAATTATTCAAATGGATATTTTAAACTCTTTTATAGGTACTTTAGAAAATAGCACTATACTTAAAAATCTTTTCCATATATTATTCTGGTTGATGGTTAATACTTTCTATTTCAAAAAAAAAGCTTTCTACTGATGATTGAAAATAAATGGAACTCAGCACAACTATTTCATATGAATTCCCTAGGTTGGAATTTCTCAACATCATTTGCTACTCACAGAATGACTCATATTTTGTACAAAAGAACAACAGAAATTCTGCTGGAAATCATTAATTTCTCCACTAATTTACCATGTTATTTAATTTACAATTTAATATTCTATCAAGAAAATATTTGTATTAGAGAATTCAAGTAGAACCCTAGTCTTCTGCTCTTAGCCAACAAGCCCTCCATAAATTAAAATAATACATTTTTAAAAACATTCTTCTGTAGAACCATACTCCTTTGGCGACAACTAGTGTTTCTACTTTTGCTTTAAGCTACGTTATCTAAGTGAAAACTATCCTTCATGCTTAAGAAAGTTCCACATAAAGTAGAGTTCCCAGGTTTCACTAATTCCTTCTATTCTCGTTCCTGATTAACGTTTACAAAGACTGAGAGACATTACAGAATATTTACAGATGATCCACTCTATACAGAACTCTGGAACAGGTCATGTTTCCTCTCAATAAACTAGCAACTTCCCCTTCACTCTGCAAAGTAGTTAATGTGCCCAAAGGCATGAGCAGGGCTATCAAACCTTTTTTCCTGTCCATTACACTCTTATTGGCAACTTTAAATAAATAAATTATTCTACAAGAATATTTTTGCTTCCTTCAACATGAATATAGGTCTCATTTCCTAAATCATGCCAACTATTTATTTCTTCTTTTTATTTATTTTGTTAAGCAGTTACAAAGCATGCAGAATTTTAAATGGTGTCATACACCTTAAGATGCTAGAATAAGAATATAGCATCAGTGTCTAAGACATATAAATATTAATTCCACCTGTACTGTTATAAAACTCAGGCAAAATTAAAAACACTTAATTTGTCAACTAAGTTGTAACTTATAAAGTCTAGAAATAATCACCCCCCCAAAAAGGCAAAATCATAATACTGAAATATATGATTCACAGAGAAGCAATCTTTGTTTCATAGCGAGCTTAGCTTTGATATATATAAAATTAAAAAATATTCAATGCAGCACTTAAATTACCAATTTAGTTAACAATTGCTTTTATTGAAGCATGACAGTAACCTTTTTCTTTGACTACCAAACATGACATAAAGCTCACCATTTAAATATTATTAAATACTATGTATAGTTTCTTAAGCCATATAAAGCAAGACTGAAAAACCCTGAGGTTTCTATATAGAATCAGAGTTATTGGTTGGTTTGCTTTGTTTAGGTTTTGTGGCCTGATTTGTGTAATGAGTGGTTCTGAGCATATGGCATTTTGAAGTAGAGTAATCAAAGAACAAAGGATACTATTTTTTAACATTCAAGAAAGAAGGAAGAAGTAATCAAACCTGCTGCAAAATAATGAAATGTTCTGACTAATGGAATAATGTGTGATGGAACAGGTAGAAATCTGAAAATGCGACAGAAAAGCAGACCTCTTCTTAGAACTAGATGCTGAGTTTGTGCTGACTCCGGGAGGAATGTCGCTATAAAAAGAGTCACCATCTCCAGGCTTTTTTACATAATCTCCCTGGGGTAACTGTCTAAGGCATAATAAACATTTCAGAGTCAGAAAACAAGACACACACATGAACACAGACATATACAAATATTATTTCAGGAAAAAAGAGAGGTAGGGATAATGATCTACATGAATCAAATCTATCACAACACATAAAATTATCAATAAATGAGACAAATTAAAGTCATTCTAACTGTAGAGGCCAGAAATGCAATTACAAATGTCTTTATCGTTTGGATGAATAAAGCCTTGCTTTGGGGAAAAAAATATGAAAATATGAGTGTTTTCATGGTAACTTCATTATACTTGAAAATGTTAAGTGCATTTTTGTCTTTTTTTAAAAAACAATTATGTCAAAGGTGTGTTAGGACAGATAGTCCCTACCCAGATTAAGCATAGCTTTTTTTTTCCTTTGTGGTGAATAAACTGTTAATAATTTCTAAACATACATAATGTAACCTGGATTTGGTCTTAAAAGAACTGATTGATTTTTAAATTATTATAGAATTTAATGTAAACAAATCACTATTAGAGTTTGATGTTCAACTTAGAGCTTCGTTATTCATTTAACAGAAATATGAAGAAATGGAAAGATTCAAAGTTAAATCAAAAAGGAAATTTTATAACTGTTCAGTGGAATATGTGAAGGAAGATACTTTAGCAAGAGCAAGAAAAGGTTGAAAAAAATAACTGAATTTTTGTTGAGACTATAGAAGCATATTTATAGGTAGCTGGTGGGTGACCTTAGTTCTCTATCTCTACTGTAGTAGTAGTGCCCAAGTGAAAACATATTCAATCTGCACTGTTATTGACCCAAATCATCTGATTTTCAATAAACCAAGATTGGAACAGATTTTTATTACTTCTCCTAAGGTAATCAGATAGAAACTTTTAGATAAGGCCCCCAGTTAACCCTCCTGCAATAGCTAATCTGGTCATTTGTCAGTGGTGTAGCCTCCCAAATAGCCAACTGCATCAAAAACTTGATTCTTTTCTATTCAGTACTATTGCTGGAGGTGCCACAAACTAGTGCTGAATTGAGAATTTTTAACAAAGCTATGCTTAATTAAATCTCCAGCAAAAGCACAAATTTGCTAACTTTTCTTTTTCTTATTTGGTTTCTCCTTAATTACCATTATAATTTTGATTATTTGCTGATGCTTAATTTAATCCCCCCAAAATGCCATTTTCAGGTGTTTGCTTGCTTAAATTATTGCCATATTGTTGTAAATGTTTAAAATACTTGGTCATTCATTCTCTTGAATGATTGAATACTCTCATATAATTTTAATGCTATTTAGTTACACATGTCTGTGAATCTGAAAGATTTTTCAATCAGTATGGAGCATATATTTTAACTTGTGTGATTTAATCTACTCTCTTTTATGTTTACTAAAGAAAGTAGAATTTTTCATGAAATTAGTAATGTAGGATTAATTCTACCTATAACTTTTTGATACGATTCCTCCAAAATATTTTTAATTCTGTAAATGACTTCAGCTCATAGTAGTTATCCTTTCTTTTCCCCAGTATATAAAACATTAATTTTATAGGAAAAAAATACAAAACCTCATATTTAGACTGTTACATGACACCTGCTATATCTTCCCCTGTAAGAGATCTTTATTAATATTTTCTATTTTACCTTGTATCAGTAAAATATTCCATTAATGCCTGAAAAAAAAAAGCTGTCAATAAAATCAGAGTTCTATTTTTTGCCTTGGGGAGAAAATTTCCCTTTTGTGTTATATTAATATTTATAAAAGAATCCCATGAACACATTTCCAATAATAATCTCTATGGTTAACAAATCCCATTTATCACTACTATCTTTACTGATAATCTTTATAAACTGATGAGATGTGCCTCACCAAATTCAACTCAATTAAAGACCAGGCTGGGCATGGTGGCTCATGCCTGTAATCCCAGCACTATGGGAGGCCAAGATGGGTAGATCAGTTGAGGTCAGGAGTTGGAGACTAGCCTGGCCAACATGGTAAAACTCCATCTCTACAATAAACATAAAAATTAGCTGGGTGTGGTGGCGCACACCTGTAAGCCCAGCTAGTTGGGTGGTTGAGGCACAAGAATTGCTTGAACTTGGGAGGCAGAGGTTGCAGTGAGCCGAGATCACACCATTGCACTCCAGCCTGGGCAACAGAGTGAGACTCTGTCTCAAAAAATAAATAAAATAAATAAAAGATGAAGACAAGCTATTATATAAGAGCTCTGAACTACACTTGACCATTCCCAATATTCTATCCCACAAATTGCCTTCTCTTTACATGGGTCTGGCTGGCCTTCAGGCATTTATCCTGGCAATTACCAAGGCATCACTTAGCTGACACTAAGGATGTAGATGGACTATCGTTCCCAATGGATGGGGCCCAATTTTGTTTTGTGTTTTTAACTAAACATGTTTTATTAACCCTTCAATGTAACCTCTCTGAAGTCCATGGTCATTTTTTACACAGTGCTCAAACACCCTAAATGCTAAATAATCATAAACTATGGGTTTCAGTCAGTTTCAGTTCAATGTACTTCTGGGGCACCACCTTGTTTTCATTATGTTGAACAGATTAGATTCTTATCTATCACACTGCAAAGTCTCCAAAAGATAGAAATTCACTGGCTTTTCCTTAAAATTCCATGAGGAAGGCATGTAACGTTCTTCCCATGGTAAATGTCAGTGATAGGTTATGAATTTCATTAAATATCTCTTAAGAACAATGTTTTTGGGAGGCCGAGGTGGGTGGATCATGAGGTCAGGATTCCAAGACCAGCCTGACCAACATGGTGAAACCCTGTCTCTACTAAAACTGCAAAAAAATTAGCCAGGTGTGGTGGCACGCGCTTGTAATCCCAGCTCTCAAGAGGCTGAGGCAGGAGAATAGCTTAAACCTGGAAGGCAGAGGTTTCAGTGAGCCGAGATCATGCCACTGAACCCCAGCTTGGGCGACAGAGAGACTCCACCTCAAAATAATAATAATAATAATAATAATAATAATATAATGATGATGTTTAACATTTCCACTTCAGAAGACAACTCTTAATATGTTCATAATTATAAATCATCTAGTTGTTATGTTAGCATTCTAAATTTAAACATTAAGTAAGACTGTTTCTTGATCACCCCAAAACCTTTAGGCAAACAGTCCTGCTATGAGAGAAGTCTAATCTTTCCGAAAAGCATCAGTTGAATTATATTTATCTTAATAATTCTTATGTATACTTAAAATGTTGGAGGAAAAAACCATTTAACCAACTCTTAACTTTAGTGCTGAAAGAGGCATTTCTCCAATGCTTTGTTGGCATCTGGGCTGTCTCTTATTAAATTGTTACTTTACTGTTTTAAGAAATACTGTATAATGTGTACCAAGTAACACTGACAGATGCAGGAATATCACCAAAATAATAATAATATAAAAGCAAACTAAGAAAGGTTTGGAAAAAAGATAGGAAGTTCACAAGCAGAAAATAAAGTGGCTAAAACAGGTGAGAGAGAAAAGAAATGGGGAAGGGGAGGGCATTCTGCTTAAAGTAAAACCATAGATCAAAAAGATAAAATCTAATTATGTTTTATATTTCTCATCAATCATAATGGTGTGTGTTCATCTCAGACAAAGGAAGAGAGTAAGATTTCAGCTAAACATGGATATTTTATGTATCCAAGTTCAGTTAATGTTTCTTATTCTATTGCTATTTGCAAACTTATCCTAAAAACTAAAATTCACTTATAATTCTCACTACAAGTCATATAGCTTCTAAGTCCTAAAGCAATTGTGCTATAACATCAACAAAACATCAACTGAAAAAATTGGGGAAGTTTTCTTTCCTGAATATTTCAAATAAAAGGATAAATATAACCATCATTCTAATTACCTAATGTCTACGGCTATGGCTCCTTTGTTCCACAATTCTGCCCATCATAAGACACTGGCAGATTTAAACTGATGCTGTACATATGTGGAGTTCTGCCTTCGCTATGCCCCAGAATGGAGCTTCCAGTTTCTTTTTATTACCAAGTTTGTGAACAAAAAGAAAAAAATGGGTCTGCTTCACATCTTTTTGTCAAACTTGCAAGAAAACATAGAACATAATCCTTCTCTATACTGAAAACCTTCCGGACCCATTCTCAGGAGAGAAAATGTATCTGGTTATCAAATTCAGTCACAGAATTACTTGCCTGTCCTCTCCAGGAATTGGAAAGTTACGCCCAGTTTGGCACTTCTGAGCCATTATAACAGTATTAGGAATCTAATAACTGGCTATTATACTTATTATGTCTTGCATTTAGTGTCAAAGCAAAAGTTTACATTCACCAACATTTTCACCACCTCAACCAGTATGTGTGAGCCTCACTCATGTCAATGAATGCTGCCCTCCTCTTTGAGAAGAACTACATTCACCTCTTTCATTCAAAGATCAGAGAAACACAGTCTTCCAAGACCACATACTAGTAACTTCCCGTCACCATAATGCTTTACAAATTACAAAGAACCTTACTTGATTTCAGAGTTGAGGAAAGTTTGATTTTCCAATACCACATACTAGTAGATTTCTGATTCCTTGTGGATTGGTCTCCCTACCATGGAACCTCAAAGAAAAACCTAATTTAAAAGCAATAACAATTCAAAATTCTTAATTTTACTTCCTGGTATATTTTGGACTTGGGAAGCTATTTACTTTAATGTCTATTGATATTTTTATAAGATTGAACATTTTTTAATGCATGCTTTGGTCTCTGGCCTTACCACTTCGTCTATAATCACTAGCATGTATTCTCGAAAAGGAAAATCATTTAGAAAACACTTATACATTCACAACTTCCTATCTAAAGTCTATTCTTTGCTATTTCTCCACTTCGAGACCTGCTGTACAAACCTGATATTCATTAGTTATGGGCAAGGACAAAAAAGGGTTGTGTTGACATATATCAAAATATATAAAATAAATATCCACTGAAGATATGACAACTCTCAAAATATGACTGACTAGATTCCAAAAGAGTAGCCAGATCAATGAAATGATGACTCAGTAACACCAGAAGACATGAAATTATATCAGGCACATAAAGGAGATTCTTCATGTGAAAATGTTCTTAACTATATCTCTCTACATATTGAGTTAGCACAAGAAATTTGTGCATACTTTTCAATATTAATCATTTTTCTAAAGTGTAGGCAATTCCCTTATTCTGGACAGAATCCCTAATGAGAACATATCTTAGAGCACTGTGCTAGTTTTGCTTATGTTACATATGAGACATTTCACTTTTGTTTTCATATATTCAGCAATATTAAATTACATTATAGCCTTAGTTCCTGTGGAAATGAAGCTGAATCATTAACTTTTTAATCTTATTTGCCTAATTCTATTTTCCACTAAAGAAACTCAACAAACTTAGATTTCTAATGTGATCAGTCAACCTCTACTCAACAGAAAGCCTAAACGGCGGCTCCTGCTCTACTCAAGCGCTTTTGGACACAAGAGTTTACAACATGTCACGAAGAAATCTGGTTGTTCTTAAATTGTAATTTTGTCCCAGTTTTACTTTTTCCAGTAAAGATGAGTTAGTCACTCTAGGGAAAGGTCAATATTTTCTATTGTCTACAAAAACTGACCAGGATTTCAAATGGTAACCCATGGGCACCATGTATTTATACAGATTCTACAGATACTTACGGTTAAAGCCTTATGGGAATTTTAATTTATTTAAAAAAGAGTAAAGTTAAATTTTTGATTTGTGAAAAAAAATGAAAGTTGTGATGGAGCATGACAAATTACCACATTTATACACCTTATTCATAACCTGTCACAAGCATGCAACTCAACAATGGAAAAGGTTAAGTAAATAGGAATCTGCATAAATATCATGAGTATAGAACTATATCATGTGTAAGACCTGGTCTAGGTTATCAGTTTCCAGGATAATATTTTAATATTTTATATCAATAGCTAACAGCACTAGTAACTTTTTAAGTATGAAAAGTGAAGAGTGAATTTCAATATTATGTGCTAATTTAGATTCAGATAAAATAGGTAATTGTTATAGAACAACATGAATGTTTTGTATCTGTTTTTATGCTGTTGGTTAAGCACAGATTTTTAAGGTTATGCTATACAGGGTGTCTGACTTTCTCAAGAATATAGACATTTTTATTATTCCAACTATGCAAATTCTTTCTTTAACTAAATGTGCAGTTACCTAATCAATACAAAAAAATTCCTTATGCAGAGATAAACAGCTCAACAAATGCTAGAACATTCCCAACAGCAATACTGCCCAAATAAACTTTGTCACTTATGAATGGATATTATTAATATAAAAACAGTAACAAATTCCCTCAGAAAGTATTAGGCAATAAGAGTGTTACAAACATGAAGAAAAGCTAACATTAATGTAAACAAATGGGACACCTTACCATAGAGGAAGTATGTTTTGGATGGAAAAAATCAATTTCTATATATATTACTATTAAAAAATAAGCAAGACTCTCCACTAATTGTTGTATTGTTGGATAAAAGAACCATTAAAATTAAATGACAGATCTATTTTAAATTACTATATTTCATGGCACCATCATTAAAATTATCTCAAGATAATGAAAAATCAAGATTAGTGTATGATCATTATAGCATAAAAACAAAGTGAACTTAATTATAATTGCATGTATGAATTCCAGCAATGCTAATCTGAGTCAAACCTTACAGTTTTATGTTCACATTATTTTAATTACATACCTCTGTTCTCGATAGTTTCTTTTCATGGACAAGAAGAGAAAGAGGAAGAAACACAGAGTTAGTTACCTCTGGATGGACATCAAGAGGGAGCTCTAAACATAAAAGCTCTAGCTTTCATTGAAAAGTCTTCACTAGAGGATTCTGAATTAAATAATTAAAATGGGAATGCACACACAAAAATGTCACTTCATCATTAGGAGAAGCGACAAAGAGTCAGTGATAATATTGTCAAACAACTGTCCATTTTTAAAAACATAAATATGCTGCAGTCATTAAACAGTAACTGTTTTCTCAACATCAATCGCTGCTGTAAAGTAAATCTTATTTCAAATACAGGTCTTCAAACATACATTAACTTAAATAATGAAATTAATGAATCAAGTTACTTATATAAATAACTGTATTTTCACAGAAATAAAATTATAATTCATTCCTAATGGGATATAAACCCCAAACTATAATTATTCCTAAGAATTTCAAATAGGGGAATATAAATGAATACCAGAATATTTTATTTCATCAGGTATGATAAATAGGAGTGAGTTAATTGATGACTGTTAAGGATCTCCTAAGTGATTACTACTTACTTGCTGAAGTTTCACATTGGAAATACTTGTTCAGTGTTTAGTCTCTGTGTTTATTTAACCATAAGCTAAAATCAACTTAAATGAGTTTCCAACTAAGTGGATCTTATTAAAAAATTGCTCTAAAGGGTGTGGTAGTACAGTACCAGTGACTTTTCAGGGGTTCATTGCTAACTTTCTATCTTGACATAATTGTTAGTAGTTTGGAGACACGTTAGAAAAGTCATGCAACTAAGTAGTTTTAGGCTGCTTCCTCTAAGAACAAGGATAATGTTTTCACATGGATTTCATTGGTAACATCTTTACTTGCCAGTCTATTTCATCCACATTATACATATCATGTTTGATAACACACACACGACGGCAAAGGTGCCAATTCGTTATTATTTTTGATTCTGGAAACTATCAGATGGGTGAAAAATAAACCTGGTATCTTTCTATTCAACATGTTTTACTTTCTATTCCTTCAATCTGATTTCCTGAGCCATACGGTTCCAAATGAGCATTCTACTTTTTTTTCATTCCTGCTATTCTCCACCCCAAGGCTTGGAGAAGGGGTAGAAAGTTTAACTGGACAAACTAATGAGAAAATGAGTTCTCAGGTTCTAAATCTGGTTTTAAATTTCAAATAGAATAAGTAAAACATCATATTCATGAATTTAATTCCTCTTTTAAAATATCTACATTCCCACCATATTCCTAAACATATTCTGAATAATTTTAGAAACATTAAAACTTTAGCTACTTGGACTAATTATTTAAAGAGGATACTGTAATATACACAAGTTTTGTCTTTTTCCTTAAGCTAAAACCAACTTAAATGAGTTTCCAACTATGTGGATCTTATTAAAGTTGCAAAGTGCATATATGCAGGAATGAACAAATCTCAAAAGAATGCCATAAAAATAAGAAATCTCATGCAGAAAAAGGTGATTTTCATTCTAATCAATAAAGGCAAATAGACATATAATTTAATAAGTAATATGAGTGTTTAGGTTTCTAAAAGGTAGGTTTTTCCAAGATTGTACAAATGAAATATCCACTTCCATCACTAGGTGGCAGAAAAACACACACTACAGAATGAACAATTGTTTCTTTCCATTTTCACATAGCCAAATGAAACCACTGAGCTACTTCAAAACAATAATGCTTGTGATGACAATTGCTACTTAAATCGTGCATTAAGTTGGAGAAATAGTGCGATTCCAGCACAGAGCTAATTTTCTTGTGGTGTGAGGAGAAATCAAATGATAAACAGAAAAGCCTTCCTATCAGATATATGATTTTGTAACTCCAAATGTTATGCTGAGGTGAAATATACCCAGTAACCTGCATACCAAAGAGGCCCATAGGTTTTAAGCATCAGCTATGAACTTATTATTATCACCTAACACTGTCTTAAATTAACTGCACCAAAAGTAACATCTTTATACAGGTATATGGCAATTGCTTGTGAGGTCAAAACCATGAAAGAGTTTATTTAGCTGAAAAGGGAGATCAGTTAGTTTACTGCCAGGATAAGCTTTGTATGGTACAAGCATTAATAATACAATAATTTGTGGAAGACCACACAGTACAGGGCTAGGTGCTCATTTAATCAGGAAAGAGCTTACTATTATGCTGTGCTCTCCTTCACTATGATATGCCATGTCAACCATGTTATGCCAAACTGTATTATGCTCTCCAAGCTACTCGTTAATATACAGTATTCCACAAATGCCTGTAATATTAATGCTTGTAGCATACAAAGGTTATCCTGCCAGTAAACTAACTGCTCTCCCTTTTTAGCCAAAGAAACTCTTTCATGGTTTTGACCTCACAAGCAATTACCATGTGCACTATAAAGGTGTTTCCTTTGGTGCAATTGGTTTAAGACCTTGTTAAGTGATAATAATCATAGCAAACAATTACCTAGTGCTTACTGTGAGCCAGGTACTACTTTGAGTGTTTGACATATATAAATTCAAGGAACAAAGTTGAGTCCATCAAAAGGCGTGGGGTAAAAGTCTAAAATTTTGATTCTAATTCCCAAAACTTTGAGTTACCTAAGTTTGATCCATGAGGAAAAATGTGCTATGAAATGAGGCAATGCCCAGAATGCCTAGTACAAGTTGCAGGCCTTCCAAATGGAGAAAAGCCCCAGGCCTGTGGACTGGAACATCATCAAGGATCAGCAGAATATGATTTTAAGTTGAAATATTAAAGAAAATTTAAGGTTCATCACATTTAAATTCTAACTTATTAAACTTAAATTAGCTATTTGAATACAAAGAAACTTTTCACATCATGCGATTAAAGCACTTAAAAAGGAAATTGAATATTCTGGTTTCTTTTCAGATTGTATAAATCATAAAAAGAAAATTGAACACATTAAATAAATAAAAAAGTTTACAATGTTTGAAGGCATTTACTGAGCAAAATGTTTAAGGCTATCAACTGCTCTTCAAAAGTTACAACTTAGAAGCTTTTAAAAATTTAGACTGATTTCAATTCACTTCAAGGATTTTAAAATAATACTCAGTCCTTTTACAATAGAAGGAAGTTGTCTCGAAATCTAAAAAAAAATGATGTTATTATCACTTCTCACCATGCCAAGAATAAGCATTGACTGGCTGCTGATTTTCATTGCAAGTATATTCAACCAATGATACAAAACTTTCTAGATGTTTTCACGTAATCAAAATGTTTAGAAGTATATTTCGATAGTAACAAGACTGAGACATTTCACTTACTTATAACCCCACGCAGTTATTCCTAATATGAGGGCCAGCACTAAAATGGTGCCAGCAATTATGCCTATTATGATATTGGTGCCAGCAACACCTGAGAGGAAAAAAAAGAAAGAAGGAAGATCAGTGGTATAAAATTCTTTCAGAAACTTTATTGCTCAGTTTTGTAATCATCACACTAACAAGACTGTTTGTTTTCAAAAATGGGTATTTTTCAAAGGAAAGAAAAAATCAACCATAATTCAGCAATCTACATCAGTTGATTTAAAAACAGTGTTTGGTATATGTCCTTTTTAATTCTTGTCCAAGTGCATTTTGCCAGTTGTATTTTCCAGAAACCATGATGTCATTAAACTAAAAGAGGGAAGAGTGATGGTAGTTAGGGAGGAACAGGGAGAAAACCTGTGTTCCTTTTGATCCTTACCTCTTTCTCAGAAATTCTAGAAATGTTATTGTGCGTATCACTCCACTTTGACAACTAATGCAAGGTCCTTATTGCTCTCGGTTTTGTATGTGTGTTATATTTTGTTTCTCTCAAAGTGAATATAAGCTTCTTAAGGGAGAAAACATGTCCACAGACTTGTATGGTTACTGCCCAGGTAGTGTAGGTGATAAAAACACTGGACTTGTAATTCCCCGTCTGGGCAATGATGGCTATGGCATTCTAGAGAAGGAAAATCCAGAGGAACAAAAGAGTCGAGTGAGCTGGAGGACTGCAGCTGAAGTGGCAGGAGAGGGAGGCAGCACCACACTGGCAGAGAGACAGGCAGGCAGAATCCAGGGCAGGGTTGAAGCTCAGAACACAGTGATGGCATTGTTGTGCCAGTATCCATTGTCAGGCAGGCTGAGATATAATCTTTAAGGGGATCATCACAGCAGAATGGCACCATGAGTCAAAGGCTTGGTTGATAAGCTCCAATGAGGGCTCCAAGGCAGAAAAGGCTGATCTGAACGAGGCCTAGCTCTGACACCAGAAGGCCTGTTTTGCTGATAATGATTTATGCCACATGGTTAACTGCAGAGCTTTCATCCAGAGCAGCTTAGATCCATCCTTGTCTGCTCCACTCTTGAGGCATCCTTTTACACATCAAAGGTCAGGAGTCATGGGCTACTTGAGAAGACTTCAATTCTCCATGATAGGAGTGGCAGTCTCTCTGTCTAGGAGCCCTCAGAATTCATGCCAGACAGCAGGGCTAGGCCATCTGAGCAGACTAGTGGAGTCCAACCTGCCAGGTCCTCTGTGGGATGCACAGATGCAGATGCCAGAGGATTTCTTGGGTCACTAGAGTTTTCTTACTCCAAGACCTAGCATGTCTGTCTTCCCTTCCTTTTTCCCAGGGACTTAATAGGGATCAATAAACTTAGATGTTAGTCTTGTTTATTTCTAAGTAATGGTATGGCTTTTGACATGTCATTTAAATCCATGTGCCTAAATATTATTGCCTTTGAATTAATTACCGGAACAAACTCCACACTACCATTGCTAAGACTGGGGACTCTAAAATCTTAATCATCCTATGATTTTCTTTATAAAAGTCATATTAGCTAAAACTGTTTAGATTATTAGAATGAACATATTCCTTTTTTCTCATCCTTTGAGAGTGAATGAACTTCAGGATTTGAGCATTATCTTGTATAAAAGAATACTCAATAATGAAATAATTAAATAGTTTAAAAGGGGACATTTGCCTCCAATGTATGAGTTCTTTCAACCATCTGCATTTGATTTCTATACCCCAGCTTGGGCCACCCTAGCTTTTAGGACTGCACCTGTTATTTCTTATCCATGTTCTTAAAGCCCCTCCAGGAACCTTGGCCAGGATTACTACCCGCAGCCAGTTCAGGCTACAGAACTGGGATTGAACAACAATGAGCTTCTATAATAAAGAATATTAAAATATTTTAAAACCAATTCTTTAATTGTTCCTTTTTATTCAGTTCAAAAATATAAAATGTTTCCTTTAATTGCACACAGCTAAGAGTTATAACTACTTTCTTCATTTGAAAGAAATGTTAAGGTTTATTGACAGCTTCAGACAAGTATAATAATCAAAAAATCTCAGAATGAAGCAGGACAAGATAAAGCTAAATCAAATAGACTAAGTTATACACAATATTACATATCATTACAATTTAATGGACATATTCAGTTTCATAAAATGGACCTCATTATTATGAGAATGTATTTCTGATTATCACAAAAATAACTCAAACAAAAGTTTTCAGAGAGCAGTTTTCTCTTTGTGTATAAAGAGTACATAATGTACCAAATTAAGTACTTACCATTGCCAGACAGAGTAATACCAGTCTTTGCATCATCATTGTGAGGGAAGTAAGTGTTGCAGTCAGAACCTATCCAGTGTCTGTTACACACACACTTCAGCTCATTACTGCAAACCTGAAATCCACAATCAAGTTAGAGTAAATGTCAACTCTCTGGTACAGAAGCATGAAAAATAAACACTAATTTCTTATTATTATATGCTTAGAATTTGGTAATTCTGAAAAATTATTAGTATGTTCTTCCCAATACTAATTATATTATTTCTCCCTCCAGTATTTCAAGCAAATGTTTCCTACAGACCAACAACTGACCCAAAGGGAACGATGAATTTTAACAGAGAAATTCATCTACATCTATAAAAAGATCAAAGAAATTATTGTTTTGACTTTCATTAACTTAAATTTTATGAGGAAGATTTAAAAAGCTAAGTAGAAATACAATCATCTGTCAATTATCTAATACAAAGGTTTCCTTCCTTCCTTAGTAAGGGTCTTTATGCAAAAATGTTATTCATTTCTTAGAAAGCAAAATGAAATAAAAGTCTGATGAAGAGAGGAGACCTATGTTTTGCAGTGGGCTGAGAAGAAAGTTTCACAAGGCTATAACCTTGGCACTTCAACCCATGCTGTAGATACTAGCGATGTCAGGGTCAGGGGAACTAAGTACTCCCACGAATAGAGCATATAAAAAAGATTCACATAAAATTGATACCATTTTTTTATATTATAGGGAAATAATCTCTCTTCATTTGTCCACTCAGGAAACAGAATATACACCTAAATCTAATTCAAAACAACTCTGAATAGAGAAGCAGGAGAGAGTTAAGTTAGGTTAAAGATCAGCAAAGTTCCTGCTGAGACAGGTTTTTACTACAGGGGTTTCTGTCTTGTCTGATCTAATTTTCAGGAACACAGCATACATCCACATCTATATGTAACTATAACACAGCCTCAATAAGAGCTACACATTAACAAATATGCAGAAAGGAAAAGGTTTAGGCTTAAAAGGCCTGGATTTGATTCACCATATCACTCCTGTCTTACTAAGGGACCTTCATCAAGTCTCCTGGCTTCTTCAAGCATCAGTTGCTATATCATATGTCAGGTATCAGTGATAAAGTGACAAGAACAGACAATGATGCAAGTGTACAGTAATCATAATAAATAGCATAGCTTACATTTATTGAACACTTCCCATATCCCAGTCTTGTTTTAAGTGTTTTACAAGTTAACTCATTCTTTGCACAATTATTTAAAGTGGGCACTATTATCTCCATTTTACAGAGGAAGAAATTGAGTCATAAAGGTTAAGAAATTTGCCCTATGTTACCCAGCTAGTAAAAAGCAGAGTTGGGATTCAAACCCAGGCTGTATGATTGCAAGCCCACGCTCTTAACTACATGATATATAGTACAAAAAGAATATTTACGGCCAGGCACGGTGGCTTACGCCTGTAATCCCAGCACTTTGAGAGGCTGAGGTGGACGGATCACGAGGTCAGGAGATCGAGACCACCCTGGCTAACACAGTGAAACCCCATCTCTACTAAAAATACAAAAAATTAGCCAGGTGTGGTGGCGGGTGCCTGTAGTCCCAGCTACTCAGGAGGCTGAGGCAGAAGGGCGTGAACCTGGGAGGTAGAGCTTGCAGTGAGTGGAGATCGCACCACTGCACTCCAGTCTGGGTAACAGAGGGAGACTCTGTCTCAAAAAAAAAAAAAGAATATTTACTAGTATTAATTTTTCTCATATTAATTTTTTGTCACAAATACAGAGTTGAGTTGCTGTAAGTTAAAATTACGCCAAATATAATTATGCATAATTATTGTGAATACATAATTATATTATGCATAATTGTTGTAAATTATCTGGATGCTGATTTGCCATCTGATTTATTTGCACTGATTATTCTTTTACTAATTAATTAAACAAATGTTTACTAAGCACAACTATGTTTGGTCTCGTGTTTTGTTTCAGAACCTTAAGAAGGATAAGACATAGTTATTCATTAGCATGGATGATCAAGAAAAATTCCATTATTTTTTATTTTTTTCCTCTGATCCCCTAACATCCTCTTAAAGACTAAGAAAACAAGACTTGGAAGACTACTTCATAGGAGCAGAGCTACTTAGTACATGTCTGCTCTACTCTTATATGCCATGAGAATTCCTATGCTTTGGCAAGAAGTAACAATTAGTTACTTCCCTAAATAAATTCTCGGAATATCCCTGAGGATATGTATGGAATGACCAGGATTGAAGGCTTACAGTTCCAAAACAGGGATCCTTTATCTTAACTGAATACAACAGTTCAAGCAAAAAATCCGGAACAAAAATAAAAAGCATGCTGTAGCACATGCTGAAAGAAATAGAACAAACTATTTGTTTTGGTAGTATAGGAATTCCTAATTGAAACTGACAAAACTTTATCCCTAGCAGAGGATGAATATTTAACCTGTAAACTTACCTGTACAAGATATACATTATCTGATACATAACTGAAAGAACAGAATTACAAGTCTTTCAAATGCCATTTTTGTCCTATTCATTTGTAAGAAACATTTCCCTAAGTTATTCTGTTTTTATTTCCAGGACTTATCCTCAGCTTGTACCCGCTGGTGTGGCTACAGCAGTTGATAGTCTGTTCAGATTTGTCAGTGCCCAGACCACATCGTTTTTGAATACTGTGGCCATCACATCCAATTTTTATTGTCTTTCTTAAAATCCCATCATAGTTTGTTAAAATGTATCTCCAAGTTCACTTGTAAAAAGCTGGCATTATATTATATGAGATCATAGTAACACAGAAAAGAAAGATGGAAGAATTTTGATTATTCTTTTCCTTATTCCCAGGCTTTCTCAGATTATACAACAGAAATATTCAAATAGCTATAATTGAATTAGCATTTACACAACTAGAAATATGAAAAATCATGTTTTCCATAATTAAGAAAAATAAATAGTTTAGGGTCCTATCTATTTCTGTGATATAAAAGAAATAAATAGATCCTGACAAGGTACTGGATACTTACTCCATTTCCTGAGCAAATAGTGCCTTCTTTACTGCTCAAGCAAGTACTAAAGTTGAAAGAAGCCACAGGAAGACACCTGTGTTCTAAACACATCATTTGGGGACCACAAGGTGTCCCATCTTCCACATAGCCAAGATCTACATCTTCTTCAAGCTTAACATGCCCACCACTAAAACAAATTGAGAGCAAAAAATGTCTATTAATTCAAATTCATTTTGAAAACACACTCAAAAACTTAAAAGTGGGCAATATTGCTTCCTGTATCCTATTTATTACTCATTAAAGACCAGTAGCATAAGCCAGTTCAAACTCAGAAAAAGCCATTGAATCTTTTGATCTAATTCCTTTTGGAGAAATTGATATAGTTTAGGATTTAAACATAATTACTATAACTGGGGCCTGAATTGAAACAGGTTTATCATTTCACTTGGGCTACCAACCAAAAGGTAAGTAAGGCATTATTACTAGTATGTAATTTGATAAGTTGGTTGACCCAAAAAGATTGCATATGTACCAATTACATTTGAGAATGACTAAACTTTTGTAGCATCACTATTCAATATAGCAAACCTGCATATATTATTTAGAAATGTTTTTTAAAACCACGGTAAGAATTGAAAATGTATATTCATAATTTATTCATATGGGGCCATGTCAATGCTACTATAAAAGCCCCCATTTTTGTCACTTTTATTTTATGTTCAGGGGTACATGTGCAGGATTGTAATATAGGTAAACTCATGTCATGAGGGTTTGCTGTGCAGAATATTTCATCATCCGGCTACTAAGCCTAGTACTCAATAGTTATTTTTTCTCATCCATTCCTTCCTCCTCATCACATCCCTCACAAATAGGTCCCAGTGTCTGTCGCTCCCCTCTTTGTTTCCATGTGTTCTCATCATTTAGCTCCCACTTATAAGTGAGAATATGCGGTATTTGGTTTTCTGTTCCTGTGTTAGTTTACTAAGGATGATGGCCTCCAGCTCCATCCATGTCCTGTGAAGGACATGATCTTGTTCTTTTTTATGGCTCCATGGTATTCCATGGTGTATATTTATGTTCCACATTTTCTTTATCCAGTCTGCCATTGATGGGCATTTAGGCTGATTCCATGTCTTTGACATTGTGAACAGTGCTGCAGTGAACATACATATGCCTGTGTCTTTATGGTAGAATGATTTATATTCCTTTGGGTTTATACCCAGTAATAGGATTGCTGGGTCAAATGGTATTGGTTTTTAGGTCTTTGAAGAATTGTCACACTGCTTTCCACAATGGTTGAACTAGTTTACACTCCCACCAAAGGTGTGTAAATGTTCCCCTTTGTCTGCAACCTCACCAGCACGTTATTTTCTGACGTTTTAATAATAACCATTCTGACTGGTGTGAAATGGTATCTTATGGTGGTTTTTATTTGAATTTCTCTAATGATCAGTGATATCAATCTTTTTTCATATGCTCTTTGAGCACATGTATGTCTTCTTTTGAAAAGGTCCGTTCATGTCCTTTGCCCACTTTTTAATGGGGTTGTTTTTTCTTGTAAATTTAACTTCCTTATAGATGCTGGATATTAGACCTTTGTCAAATGTATAGTTTACAAAAAAATTTTCCCATTTTGTAAGTTGTCTGTTTACTCTGTTGATAGTTACTTTTGCTGTGCAGAAGCACTTTAGTTTAATTAGATTCCATTTGTCAATTTTTGGTTGTTATGACTGCTTCTGGTGTCTTTGTAATGAAATCTTTGACTATTCTCGTGTCCAAAATAGTATTGTCTAGGTTGTCTTCCAGGGTTTTTATAGTTTTGAGTTTTAGATTTAAGTCTTCAATCTATCTTGAGTTGGTTTTTGTATATGGTGTAAGAAAGGGATCCAGTTTCACTCCTCTGCATATGGCTAGCCAGTTATCCCAGCACCATTTATTGAATAGGGGGTCCTTTCCCCATTACTTGTTTTTGTCAGCTTCATCGAAGATCAGATGGTTGCAGGTGTGCGACTTTATTTCTGGGCTCTCTATTCCGTTCCATTGGTCTATGTATCTGTTTTTGTACCAGTTCTATGCTGTTTTGGTTACTGTAGCACTGTACTATAGTTTCAGGTTAAGCAACGTGATGCCCCCAGCTTTTTAGTTCCCTGTGAATTTTAAGTTTTTTCTAGTTCTGTGAAGAATGTCTTTGATAGTTTGATAACAACAGCATTTAATCTGTAAATTGCTTTGGCAGTATGGCCATTTGAATGATATTGATTCTTTTGACTCACAAGCATGCAATATTGTTCCATTTGTTTGTGGCATCTCCGATTTCTTTGAGCAGAGTTTTTAAATTCCCATTGCAGAGATTTTTCACCTCCCTGACTAGCTGTATTCCTGGGTACTTTATTATTTTTATTGCAATTGTGAATGGAATTGCATTCCTGATTTTACCCTCAGGTTGGCTATTGTTGGTGCATGGGAATGTTAGTGATTTTTGTATGCTGATTTTGTATCCTAAAAGTCATTTCAGGACCAGGTTGCTTAATTTCCACATAATTGCATAGTTTTGAAAGAATTTTTAAGTCTTGATTTCTATTTATATTGTGCTGTGGTCCAAGAGTGGGTTTGGTATGATTTCAGTTCTCTAGCTAGCATTTGCTGAGGATTGTTTTATGTCCAATTGTGTGGTCAATTTTAGAGTATGGGCCATGTGACGATTGGAAGAATATAGACTGTGTTGTTTTTAGGTGGAGAGTTCTGTAGAGGTCTGTCAGATCCATTTGGTCCAACACTGACTTCAGGTCTTGAATATCTTTGTTAACTTTCTGCCTTGATGATCTATCTAATACTATCAGTGAAGTGTTGAGGTCTCCTGCTGTTATTGTGTGGGAGTTTAAGTCTCTTTGTAGGTCTCTAAGAACTTGCTTGATGAAGCTGGGTGCCCCTGTGTTGGGTGCATATATATTTATAATAGCTAGCTCTTCTTGTTGAATTGAACCTTCTACCATTACATAATGCCCTTCTTTGTCTTTCTGTATCTTTGTTGGCTTAAAGTCTGTTTTGTCTGAAATTAGGATTGCAACCCTGCTTTTTTTCTGATTTCCATTTGCGTAATAGATTTTCCCCCATCCTTTCATTTTGAGTCTATAGGTGTCACTGCATATGAGATGGCTCTCTTGAAGACAGCATACCATGGGGTCTTATTTTTCTCCAGCTTGTCACTCTGATACCTTTTAAATGGGGTATTTAGCCCATTTACATTCAATACTCATTCACTTCATTTATTTTTATCAAAATTACATATGCACATAGTTTAAAGGATCAACAGATAAATTGTTTTTAAACACAATAAAGCAGTTCTCTGCCTCTCTAGACATTCTTCCAGATACTCCTCCTAGGAGAAAACCATTTTCTACTCTTAATTCATTCTTTTGTTATTTATGAAAGTCTCCTGGAGTTTCTGGCCTGCTCTTGTCTGTGCTGATTCTCCACATGTGCCAGTTTCATAGCACTGTAAATCTTGACTTGCACCTCACTATCAACTTGGGGATTGCCCGGTCTCTGTTTGTGGAATCCTGTTTCCTGTATTCCCTATCTTTCTCTTTCTTGGTTTACTTTGTTTTGGTGGAGTGCAATATCTAGTACTTTTCTGAGAAATTTGTAGCATAACTAAACATATCTTTATTATCTATCCTCACACCTGTTTGATATTTTGCCAGAGTACAAAATTCTATTTTGGAAATAATTTTCTCTATCGTCTTCTGACTCCCAGGGCTCCTGTTGCTAAATCCTAAACCATTTTAACTCTTAAGTCTTTGATTTTTGTTCTCGTCTCTGGAAACTTCCAGAATTCTTTGTTTTGTCCTAAGGTTCTAAAATTTCACAATGATATGTTTAGATGTACCTCTAATTTCACTCATTGTATTCAGCACTTGGTGAGCCTGTTAATATGGAAACTCAAGTCCTTTATTTCTAGACAATTCTCTTGACTTATTCATTGAAAATTTCCTCCCTGCTGTTTCCTCTGTTATTACTGCTATTCTAATGCGTAAGATTTTCTCTATGTTCCATTTCTTTGCCTTTTTACCGTACTTTCTGGAAGATAATTTCAACTACTAAATTTTTTCTTTCTGAATGTTCCCTGTTTAAGAAAACAGCACCCTATTTTCTTGTTTCATGACAGAAATCTCTTATCTCTCATAAATACTGGTAAGTGGTTTTGTTTTCTTCCCCTTCATTGTCTCATTGTTTTTGTCTTTTTTTTTTTTTTTTTTTTTTTTCATGTTACAGACTTTTTTTCACATCTCTGATAACCTGCTCATATTTGAGTCAGGAGACCGAATAGATGATTGGAAATTTGTACTATTGAGGTTGGACTACTTCCATACAACCCTTATATAAATATTGTTTGCTGTCCTCCAGCTTAGAAACCTCCTCTTTTATTCTCTATAGAGTATCAAGCTCCAATCTTCCATGGGAGGGTGGGAAATCCCCAGTTAAGCTGAGTTGGGGAAGTAATCTGAGTATCTAACTGCTTTTTAAACAGCCTTTCATCTGTTTTCTGTATTTCAGCCCCTTCCCTCCACTCCTTCCCTCCCTCTTCCTAAAGTAGATGATGCTGCCAATTTCTGAGCCTGTGGGGAAGTAACAGTATATCTTGGATTGATTCTCAGTTTTCCTCATTACTGACTTAGGAATTCAGCTTTCTCAGCTTTGATAAGTCATGTGCCACACATCCATTTGCTTTATACATAACAAAATATTGTTGCAATTGTCTCTTCTCTCTTTCTATGCCTCCCTGTGGATATATGAACTCTAAAAAAAGATCCATTTGCTATCTTTTTAGTGGGATTTCATAAGGGAGCAAAAGTAGATGCATATATTTAATACACCGATTTACCCAGAAGTCCTCATTCATTTTCCAAACTCTGTAAGACTTTACTGACCAATCTAAACTTAACTCTAGTAATCACATAATATTCTTCATTCAACTACTTTTTGTCTTCTTTTTATCTCTTCTCTATTAGGATTTACTCAATCGCCTCTGTAGACTAGATTATATTTCGACTTACTAACACGTACGTTAATTGAAAATGGAAGGAATCCTAAACTGCATTCCTGAGAAATAAGATGACTCAGGTTCTTACTGAATGGTTAGATAATTACCTGCAGTTTAATGTTCTTCCTTGCTGCACAACTAAAGTAGATGTGATTTCACCATCGAGTTCTCCAAGCCTTGGGATATTGCCAATATTGGTACACAAAAGGTAACCACAAAGCACATCCCTGTATCAAAAGATTACCAATTACTTCTTTTCTCAAAGATATAGCAAACCATGTACAGTTAGAATAATCTCCTCTCATTTTAGCATTTGGTTTTCATCAAGTATATTATCTACGCATATGCTAAGCAAAATAAAATAAGTCCAAATTAGTGTGCTACCTGCTCTCAAAAGTGTCTTCTCTGAAACTCTTAATGTACCAAAATCTCAATTGTTTTCTAGCTTTTTCTTTACTGTCTATTAGTTCAAGTATTTAAAGAATCCATCAAATTGGCTTATTTTATATTGAAATCTCTTTTCCCATAACACAATACTGGATATACTAATCTATTTCTTCTTCTTCTTTTTTTTTTTTTCCCCTATAGAGTCAGGGTCTTACTCTGTTGTCCAAGTTGGAGTCTGGTGGTGTGATCATGGCTCACTGCAGCCTCAAATTCCTGATTCAAGTGATACTCCTGCCTCAGCCTCCCAGGTAGCTGGGACTACAGGTGTATGCTACCAGACCCAACTAACTTTTAAATTTTTCACAGAGACAGGGTCTCACACTATGTTGCCCAGGCTGGCCTTGAATTCCTGACCCCAAGCAACCTCCCTCCTCACCCTCCCAAAGCACTGGGATTATAAGCATGAGACGCTATGCCCAGCCAATTTTTTTTTAAAACTTGGTAACTGAATATTTGGATGAGCATTCTTTTGGAATACGGATGTTTTTTCAACCTGTTGCCCTAGAATTAAAGAAGAAATTATAGACTCCATTTAGTTTATAGATGCCAACTACAAAGGCTCATTATCCTTTCTTCAATATATTTCACTACTTCCCCAACTACTACATATGATTCTAATTTAACTTATAAAATATCTTTATTGTTGTTAATACTATCTTATGTATTATTTATATCCAACACATTTTAATTATTAGTAGAGATAACAATAAACATATTTTTAAAATATCTTGTGAAGAGTAATTAGTAAGTCAGCAAGATCATATACAAAAATATCAGACTTTACCAGATGGAGAAAAAAGAAAAATTAGAACCTATATTTTTCACCAACATAGAAAAGAACATACTATCATTCTTTAAAAATGCTTTTTAAAATTATGTCATCATTTTACTGTATCTATCATAAACAAAAATGCTTTCTCAACAGAGAAGAAATATTCATTCAAAACTTTTTTGAATGTCATTTATGTATATGAACCTATGTAATGTAGAATATATAAAGAAAATTAGATACAATCTTTATTCACAAGAAAATTATACTCTAGATGAGAAGATAAATCACACACATAAACAACTTATAAAACAAAATTAGAGACAAATAAGTACAAAGGGCTGTGGGAGTTCAAAGAAGAGAGAGATTATTTATTTCTAGAGTAAATCAGAAAGAAATTTATATATAGAAAGTGTTTTGCAAGCTGGGCTTTGAAGAATAGATACATTTTTGGCTGATGATGGTATGAGTTAAAGGGTGCTTCTGGAGGATTACAGAGGATAAATATAGGCATGGAGGTAGGTACTTATTAGGAATGGTTAGGTTTGCTAGATTTGGAAGAATATAAATTAAATGACAAAAAGTCTAGGTTGGGGACAATTGTGGAATAGGTACAGTGCCAAGCTAAGGTTCCATTTAATTTGTTAACAAGACTATGACATTCAGCAAAGTGGTAAAGAGAGAGTTCTGAAATCATATTCTCCAAATTCTAATTCTGCTTATTATTACATCCCATATACATGCCTTTGGGCAAATTAACTGTGTCTCAGTTTCCTCCTCCATTAAATGGTAGGACTGCCATAAAGATTAAATGGCATAGCTTATGTAAAGTGTGATACAGTGCTTAGTACACAGTGTTCACTCAATCAGTGCTGGGTACTGTTCTCACTATTAATTAGTCATGTGGAACCAGTGAACTTCCAACAAATAATTGACAGTAAAAAAGATCCAAAAGAGTATTCTGATAGTAGTACACTAGGGAATGCTGGCACAGAAAACTATTAAAAGAATTTTGTAATAGTTGAAGGATTAATATAAGTCGTAGTTCAGGTAATAGTAATAGGAATGTAAGTGAATACGTGAATTAAAGACAAATGGTAGCAAAGCAAAGGGAAGAATGAATGTAATTTGGCATTTGGACAATGTGTAGAGGGAAGGATCACTTTAAGCCTTCTAGACAGAAGGAGAGTGAAATATTGAGACCTTTGGCAAAAAGAGGGTGGTTTGGGAAAGTTATAGCCAGTTAATTCAATTCAATAGCACTCAGTGCATATTCTGGTGGCTTTAAATTCTGTGGCTTTTGAGATGCTAAACGGTGTCTTCTAGGTAAGAAAATCCTGAGGTGGCTGCAAGTATGACCTAGCCTTAGGAAAGAGGTGAGAACACATGTCAAGATTTGGAAGCCCTCTGCACAGGTGATGCTGGAACACTGGGAAGAGATGAGGTTAAGGAGGCAAGAGCACACTTTGTGTGATGCAGAAAACAGAAATTTCCCATTCACTCAAAAAAGTACACTTGTAATTGACCAGGGGATGAATTCTGGGCTGACTTCTCCACCTCACCGTTTGTTGCACTGTATCCATGTATCTTTGTCTTTCCCACAGTTACCCTTCTCCGTCCCCTCGATATTCAGTTTCTCATAGCAATATTTGTCTGATGCTGTCACCTCTAAGGCAGAAAAAAATTTTCTATCAGTGATGGAAGTAACATTTGGCTGCTCAAAATCTTTGCAGAAAAGAAAAATTGTAATATAAGGACTTTTCATGACTACAGTGTTATCAATTCCAAAAATGTTACCAATGGTTCACAATTTTACCATGGATCATATATATCCATGACTCAGGTTTTCATTAAAGCTCATCTGAAATTTAGAAAGCAAATATATTTAGATCTCTGTTGGGACTCAGGCTGTAGGCTACACAAATCAACACTCCTTAGAATTTGGCTAATAATTCGGGCAGATCATGAGGTGGGGAGATTGAGACCATCCTGGCCAACATAGTGAAACTCCGTCTCTACTAAAATACAAAAAAATTAGCCAGGTGTGTTGGCATGCGCCTGTAGTCCCAGCTACTTGGGAGGCTGAGGCAGGGAAATCGCTTGAACCCGGGAGGCAGAGGGTGCAGTGAGCTGAGATCACGCCACTGCACTCCAGCCTGGGAACAGAGCAAGACTCCATCTCAAACAACAACAAAAAAAGAATTTGGCCAATAATTAGGGAAGGCAATAACAAATAGTTCCTTGAATATATACTCCATTCTTTAATCTCAGTGCTAAATATAATACATGAATTTCTCATTCAGCATATTTTATTAATCATAAAGACAAGTTTATTAAAATAGTTATATCCTATAATTAGATTCAAGAAACAGTGGCACAATTTCTACCTAGCTCACCACTTCTTAGCAGCTATCACAAGCAATTTTACTTCGCTTTAAGACAAGCTTGAATTCATGTTAAATCTATGGAAGTCAAATAACATTTTGAGGTACATCAGTATCTTTTTCAGGCTTTTATCTTTTCTAAAACCAGGGATGGTTGACAGAGTTACCTAAGAATTAGGACGAAATGCAAACTAATCAAAGGATAATTGTTGGTATTTTTTTTAAAAAAACAACTAGTTACGTTGGTAGTTTCTTTTCCTACTCCTTGTTGTCAGCTACTATTTTTGCTCAAGTGGATAAAACAAAAATGATATCTTTTTTCAGAGTACAAACCTGCCTGACTAAATGTTTTCCCATACCAATGTTTCCAATTGCTTAAAGAGAGCATACACTTCCCCTCCTAAAAGGATTGTGGCACTTACTTATAACAATTAAAAATTATCATCATTTTTATAGCCTTTTTTCTACTACAAATTGTCTCCTGAAACAGTTTAAAACAAAAACTGCTTCCAAAAGTTTGGGCTAGTAATACTTCTAGAAAACAATACATTACTCAACATTTAAATAAACATTTAAATAGAGTATAATTTAAATCTAAATGTTATATATTTTCCTTTGAAAATCTGACAGACTTTAAAGGCTAAAACATTAACATTTCTTTCTGATACAGCAAAGCCACTTCAGCAGAAGTTCATCTCTAACTAGGAAAGTCAACTGGAGTTTAAGAAAAATATCTAAGGAGGAAAAAAATGACTCTAGATAAAATGCTGCTGTTCTAAGTTAAGGACATCCTGTCCAGGGTCCATGTCCATCCCACATGGTTGTGTAAGCTTTAGCTTCAGGGCACTCAGCTGAAAAGAGTATACATGGAGCTGAAATCCAGGTTTGCTCTAATCTCCAAGCTGTGCACCCTGGCATGGGCTTCATCTGCCTGGCAGCAAAGGCACTTTCTGTCTTGTCCACAGGCACTGCCAACTAGCAAGATCTGTGGGGCTGTCTTCTCAAAGGGGTGCCTTACTCTAATTTCCAGAAACATGCCCCTGCTAAGACCTGTGGTAGCTTTGAGAATCCCCCAGTCATAAAGTGGTCAAAAATTTACTTCCAGCACACATGTCCTTGAGAAGTCTGTCTGATATCACGCTTTAACAATGATCCAGCCACACTATTTACTTACTTTGCCCCCAGATGTATTTGCACTGTCTATCCCTGGTTTTGCATCTTCCTCCAAAGCAAATTCCCTAAAACAGAAAAGCAAATACCCACTAGCGATGCAATATCTGCTTATGTCAGATAACTGAAAAAGAAACTATGATTGGGAAAAATAATAGATGAATAGTAGAAAGGCTTTTATCTTCAGAACTGATTATAAACATTTAAATTGATCTTCCTATTTTGATAAGATTTCAGTATTCCTGCTACACTGGTACATGTGAAAAATATAGGTAAAAATGAAGTGACCTACCTGAACACCATCACACGAATATCCATCCATTTTATGAATATTAGGGGCACACTAGGAAAAACAGAACAACTATGAACGAAATGCGGTGCAAAATATAAGGCTGAGCTAAACCCTTTAACATTTTCATTTTTTAAAAACATATTTATTAATATGGCTAGTCCCTTATACCATCTATAAAACACAATGCAAAGGAGGTCAAGAGAAAGCAAGTGGATGTCCTTGAAGTCTGGGTATTTGGTAAAAAGTAAATTTAAAAAATTAAAGAGAAAGCAAGAGGAAAAACAATGGGTACACTTGACCCTGAAAATATGAATCTACCAGAGGCAAAAACAGTTGATTACATAGCAGCAAATAAAAAGAACTGACTACAATAGACTCAATTGATGATACATTTAAAAGCATCTTGATTCATACAGAGATATTATTTTTCAGAGCAAGAAAGCTAAGGGAACAAAACTAACATAAGGAGTAAGTCTGCATAGATGGAGTAATAACTACAGTTTCCTTTCTTTTGCCATGAGAAGAAACATAGTGCTTATACTGAAAATAATGACTTTCAAGCTGAAGTCCACTTTAAGAATGTCAGAAAAGGACATACTTTATAATCCTACTTTCTTCCTTGTAGCAATTATGAAAAATTATAAGGCATTATTGAATGAGTATAAACAGAGAGCAAAGTGTGCAATTATGTTGCCTCTTTGTCTTCTAGTGATATCATGTGCCATTTTGCAAAAACAGAATATCAAGAGAGGAAACTGGCCAACAGAGATGGAAGTGCAGCAAAGAAAAGTGATGACACCAGAAGTAAAATGCAAATTGAACTTTTAAATGGAGTTATAGAAAAAAATTGCTGACTGTGGGAATGTCAATACTGCTGTTCAAGAGCCTCTAGACATGCAACCAGAGGAACTTGCTGAAGAAAGACTTAATGACATCGGTGAATAGGGTGATTATGACATAAAGGTGATGATGTCCCAGAGGGCGTAATGCCAGCAAGAAACTTCACATTCACATCTTCACATCTCTCAGGGATATCTCATGACTTCGAAAGCACAAAGAATAAAATGTTGAAAGCTGATCCAAACTTAGAAAAGAGTGTGACAGTTCAACAAGGCATAGAAAATATGCTCACTCTATATCATAAAGCTTATAAGAAGGCAAGCTCTATTCAAACTACTCCTAAGGTTTTTACAAAGAAATAAAATCCTTTAATTCTCAATGTTTCTCTTTTAATGTACAGTATGCTAAATAAATATTATTATTTCACCTTCCTATCCATTTAAAACCAGCAGTAAGAGCGTTTTTAATAATCTGACAGCATTTGTTGAAGACTGCAAAGCAACTGAAATATTTTCCTTTGATTATTAAAATGACTTTGCATGGTCTCAGCTTGCATGTTCATTTTTATGGTTTGGCACTACCCTTCAGAGTGAGGACAGTCTGTATATACACTGACCATTTTGAAATCTGTGAACCCCCACCAAAGTTTATTTAATTTCTCTAGCTTGTCTATCTATAACTAAGTGCTATAAAACTCAAGAGCAGCTATTAATGGGCTGAGGCGATACAAGCTATAGTAGGTAAGAGTCAAGAGAAAAAAAAGGGTCCTCTCTAAGAATCCAGTGTGCTTGTGAGTCCCTGCCTCCACTGACTTCTTGTTCAATCAGCTGAAGAGAAAGAGGTTTTTTGTTTGTTCCTTTACTAAGTAGACAAAAAGAAAATGCCTTGCACTACCTACTTAATACAAAAACAAAATAGTTAAGGCATGCATGCAGTCTGAGGTTAGTTCAACATTAAGACAAAATTATGTTCAACATCTGCTCAAGCATCAATCACTGAAACTTAAATTCCTAAAAAAAAAATAGAGAAATGATGTGAAAGAGACATGAGCAACTTGTTCATTTACACTTCTCTTTGAGGGTCAGTGCACTAAAGATACCCCCACTTTTTCCCATAAGGTTTAGAGCAGTTATTTTGTAAATTACCTGGCTTGAATTTCCTGAGCATGTTTCACGAATATCACAATCATTTACTGCTTCCCGGCACACAGTACCCATAGGCTGAAACTAAAATGAACAAAAATCAATGTGTGAAACTGTAGGGAGAAAAAAAAAAATCTTACAATATCATCTGAAAAAAACGAAGTGAAAATTGTTTGGCTAGAAATACCTTAAACTACCGTAAGATGGTAATCTGTCAAAACCACAGTTACTGAAAAAATTTTTAATAATTTTAAGAAACAGTTTCTTGTGTATGATGTAATTTCCATAGTCATTACACATAAGCTTTATATTATACTGCTAAATTCCACAAGACAGACCAGTTAGTCCAGGTTCTAGTAATTTTTCTGTACAAATAGCTTTTGAATTTACCCTTTACTCTTCATTCTCACTGACACTTTAATCACATTATCCTTTTTTGCCGTATCTACCAAGAATTTAAAAATTACATTTTGGGTTGAACCACAAAAACTAGATTTTCTGACAAAGCTATTTCCTCCCATGTTTCTTCTACCCTTCTTCTCATCTGCCTCATTTTTACATGGATTTAGATCTTGGTCTTTTATTATTTTCTAGTGTTTCTAATATTTAAGTCTTTGTATAGGCATTTTTGTTTTTCTATTTTCCGTCATCTCAAATACTTCTTGCAAGTGTGAGAATTACACAAATAAATGTTTAACTTCATTAGGTTAAAAATGTGAATTGCAGGAGTACTCATTAAAACGAAGCAGACCTGAGATATATAGTTAAAGTACTTCCCCTTCCCTTCACAATCTTTCTCTTTTTCCCTCTCAAAAATGTTAGCATTCAGGGCTGGATCCTTACATGCTTTGTCTCTGCTCACACAAAGGCACATGCTATTCTGCTTTCCCCACTTCCTAGACAAGCTTTATCTTCTCTAACTGCTTAGAACCCTATAGGCATTTGAGTCTCCTGCTGCTCCTAGAACATGCACTGCCCACTATAAACTCCAATCTGGATTTCAACAAGTATTTTTCTTAGATCCAAACAAAATATGTATTCATTCATCCATTCATCAAATATTTAATAACATGCCAAGCACTGTTCTAACTACTGGGAACTCAATGGAGAACAAAACACAAGAACCCTGCTCATAAGGAACTTGCATCTTAATGTGGGTTAAAAATAAAGAAATAAGAAAATTTAATTTCACATGTTTCTCTTCTTCCTTGGGACTGAGGCAAGCCACCATTTTAGAATATCTAGGGTAGAAATATGAGCAAATATGGGGTAGTTTAGAGGAGTGCATAATGTTCAAGAAGTTCCAAGAAACTTCTAACAGAAAGAATAGCGAGGCAGGATTTGCACTAAGTGCTAGGATACAACGGTATATACATCAACCAAAATCCTTGCCCTACTGGAACTTGTATTATAACGGGAGAAGAAAAGTAATAAACAAGTAAACAAGCACTCTTTAACAGCAGTGGTCTGCAAACTGTGGCCCATGGGTCAAACTTCACTGACTGCTTATCTTTATAAATAAAGTTTTATTGGAACACAATTATGTCGATTTGTTTCTGTATTTTCAATGGCTGCTTTCAAAGGCAAAGCTGAGCTGCAACAGAAACTTTATGACTACAAAGCCTAAACTATTTACTATCTGGCTCTTTATAGAAAAAGCATGCCAATGCCGGCTTATAGATACACTATTATAAATACCTGTAGAAAAAAATAGAGATACACATGGTTGCTTATCTTTTTCTTCTATTCTCCCTCCTCCATTCACTGTCCTGCCTCTGGCTGCCCTAGAAGTCCAGGGTGTCAGGTGAGAGTTGCAGAGGATGGTAAAGAAAGTGGCAAAGAAGATCTCACTTGACTCTTGACTGATACAGCTATAACTTACTTTGAGGGATAGCAGTCATGCCATTTTATTTTATGTATTTTAATTGTATTATTTTTCTACTTGTTCCTTGAAATAATTATATCACAGGGAGCCTAGTTGTATAAATCAAAGGGAAAACAGTGTAATTAAACACATTTTATAGATGGGCCGACTTAAAACACTGAGGATTAAGATAAATGATTCAGGATCTCTTGTTACGGCAGTGGAAAAAGTTGACAGAATAAACAGGGGTGGTAGCCAAAATCAAAGAATGTCTTTCACATTTGGTTTAATCTTCTTTTTTACAGAGTGCTTTCAGAGATCTCTGCCAGTGCCTGCTTGTCTTAAAAAGCTGCCAGGAGACACAGTGGTAGAGTGGAAACAACAAACTGCTGAGAGCAGATCTGGGGTATAACTGTACATCTATTCCTTACTGGCTGAGTGAGCCTGTGTACAGGTTATTTAACTTCCTTGAGACTGAGATTGTTTAATGATAAAAATCAGGACAATAATGCCTATCCCAAAAGTGTGCTTGTGAGCATTATCTCAGAGAGTGGTCTCAACCAGGGGTGATTTTACCCGCAAGGGAACATTTGGCAGTGTCTGGAGACATTTTTGGCTGTCCCACCTAGGAGGGGGCTGCTGGCAACTAATGGGTGGAATGCAGAGATACTGCTAAATATTCTACAACGCACAAGACATACCCTTACAACAAAGGATTATCCAGCCACAAATATCAACAGTGCCAGAGTTGAGAAATTCAGATATAAGATGATACTGAAGTCCTTAGCATAATCTCTGGCACACAGTAGATACTCACTATATAGTTTCATATCCCATCCTCCTTTAATTCATTAGACTAAAGTTAATCAGTAAATTATCACTAAGAGAGTGCTGTGCATATTTATTCATTCACTCAACAAATATTTACTGAGAATGTATACCAATTACTGTCTAAGTGCCTGGCTCTGCTCCATGAAATGTACAGAGGAAAGTGAGAGACAGATAGAAATAATGTAGACTATTATACCAGATTTTATATGAGAAAACAAGAATAGATTTCTTCAGGGGAAGTAAGCCTCAACTGTTAGTCTTGATGTAAAGGCTTAAATATTTGGAGATAAGTATGAGGATGCTGCTGGGAGGATGAAAACATAAAGTGTGTGAAAATGCATTCTAAACTTTCAGGATCAATAATATATGCATGGTATAATCACGTTTCAAAGTACTCCCTTGCTTCCTCAGCAGCTAATGTGAGAGATACACCAAGCTGAGCAACAAGAAAAGATCTACTGAAAGTCTCCTTGGCTTTACCAAGAAAGGCAAACATCATTTAAACATTAGTAACACCTGGTTTCATTTAATGTGCATGCTCCACAGGAAGTATGAAAAGGACAGCCTCTGAAGATTAACAGGGCTCAGGTCCTAGTTCCCCAACTTACTTGGTGTAAGACCTTGGGCAAACTACTTAACCACTACAAGCCTTAGCATTCTCATCTGTTAGATGGGAATAATAACAAGCAACTACACCACACAAGATTTTGTGAGGATCCTATAAAGCACCTGGCACTTAGTCATTTAATATGTATTAGATACTATTTTTGTTATTAGATTATATGTACCCAGCCTTAATGATTTAATCAACTATGTTCTTTTTTTTCTGTCAAATGATCATTAACGTTTATTTACCTTGCACTTTTTACAGCAAAGACCGTCACTGCATTGAGAGTCTTGAGTCAAGGTGCATTTCTTACAACACTCTGCTCCTTCAAGGACACATTCCTAAGGAATATAAACATTTTCAAAACATCAGAAAATGGTGTCACTTTCCTGAAAGTAACAGGATATTTTCTAAAATAGATATACAAACTCACAATAATTTTTCTTCCACAAATCCTATAAAATTTCCAGGCATGACACTTGCTCCATACGTCTCAGTGTGTGGACCTGGAATGACCCTCAATTACCTTGAAAATATCATCAAAACAACCAGAGACTTACGGCCGGGGTTCCACAGTCACACTCCTCTCCAGTTTCAATGAAGCCATTGCCACATTCAGGAGGATCAAGAAGCTGTAAGGAAAACCAAAAAGTGAACTAAAATATAGAAAAATCAACATCAAAGACTTTGAGAGACCATAAGTGCCATACCCAAATACACCTGCCCTGCCAAGTCATTCTAAAATATAGTTTTATTTTCCTAAACTAGAAAGCATGAGCTCAGAACTTGGAACTTTAGAACAGAAGTATCTATTTCTGTTTCCTTTTCATATTTAATATACATAGCATATAGTGTACCTATATATTTATATATATAACATATATACCACATAGGATCTGGTAAATGTCATCAAAATTAAAGATGATCTAACCATTCACTAAAATCAAGCCAGACTCTCTCCTGAAAATTCATTTGAAACCAGCAGCAGGGGATTTGGAGTTAGATGTCTAGATGAAAATCTTGGCTCAAGTACTTATCTTGGGTAAATTACTTAACATCTCAGAGACCTTAATATCTAGAACAGGAATAATAATAATAATAGTTGTCCATTTACATCAGAAAATTTTTGAGGATTAAGTTTAGCCATCTGTGAAAAATGCTTTATTACTGTATCTCCTTCTGATACAGGAAACTATTTCTTAGACAATGAGAAAAGCATCAAAAAATTAGTATATCCATTGATCTACTTAATATAAAATACAGCTCCTCCTATTAAGATAGTTTTGCAGCAAACTAAAATTAAATTTTCCCCAGAGATTGAAGCAAATTTTGACCTGTCCAAGTGTATGTTTTAGGTCTGTTTTATTGTTTAGCTCTTCATCAATTTTGTTCTCTTTTGAATATAATGTATCCTATGGTGACAGGCAAAATTAGTAAATAATTGTTATATGCCAGATACATAATATTCATTCAAAAGCTAATCAAAGTCTACATATCATAGAATTAAAATGTACACACACCAGTAAACAGATGGACATACACATGCACACATATACTTTCATAACTAACTAGAGGAAAAAAAAACACAAAATAAAGAATATATACAACAACAACAAAACCCACTTGATTTTAAATATTCTCTCTTCTACAAATGAGTCAACTTTTGTCTATATTTCATTTTTGGTTGAAACAGATCATAACAAATAAAAAACAGTCAAAATGGAAACTTATCCAAATGAAAACCACACTTATTCTCTTACTCTGGGTTTACAATAATCAGTTATTTTGGTAAAAAGACTTGAATTGTTTAGTATTTACGGCAGCAGTGACACAGTTCAAATATTCTTTCCAATCTTTTGAAGAGCCTTAAAATTGTCAATTCATTTTTCAATTCAATTCAGTGAAATTTCTAAATTTCACTGTAGTGAACAGAAAATTAAACCAGGTAAATTAAACTGATTTCAAAGGCAATGGTGCATATCCCTGTGGTGCACAGAAGCATTTCGCAGTTCACATAATTCACAAGGACAAAGCATTTTTTTTTAACATGCAAAGTCTTCAAAATGCAGGAGGAAGACCTTCTTTCTAGTCAGTAACCAGAGGATGCACTGCAAGTTGTAAAAGCCTGTGACAAAGTCCAAGACCATCTTCACTTCTGCTTTAGAAAGACTTGCTTTTCATATTGAGAAATACTTGTAATTTTAACATACTGCTCATTCAGAAAAGCAGTGGTAGGGAGTGATGAGGGTAGATATGCCCCTACATTCTACCTGTATGAGTTGTGATTAGGTAACCAAAAAAAAAATAAGCATCAAGAAAACAAAAAAGAAAAGTAATAAAACCACTTTTGTAAACTAACTCTGAATCATCACTTGGCTATAAAAAAAGAAAGTGGAAATTTTTCAGACAGCAAACACTGTTATTTCAGAATAGCCCAAAATGCCCAACATTAAAGCTGACTTTGAATATCCAAATATATAGCATATCTAGAATATGTACATATAGGGCGAGTTGAAAAGCTCTCTAAGATTCAATAGTTGAAAATGTGTATTTATAATATTTTAGAAAGGTTGATAATTAATATTATAAACCTTGTTAGACACACTTATTACCTTAGAAGGTTTGTTGAAAAGGCAGGCACCACCTCCACTATTCAGGAAGTCATGATACTCTTCAACATTACACTGGGTGAACTTTTTAGGAAGGTAATAGCTATAAAAGAGAAGAAAATCAATAGCTGGGTTCAACTCATCTCTCTTGTTTGTGAATATGTCTGAAAACTGAACACTTAAAATTGTATATTACTCTTTAAAATGAGGGAATAAAGTCTACTTATGTATGACATTTATATTCAATCTATAAGAGTTTTGTTCAATTAACATTATTTCTAAATTCTTCATTTGGTGACTAATAGTTACTGTGGGTTTTTCATTATTTGCATGTGCATTCAAGTTAAATCAAGGAGAGCTGGGAAAAATTTATTTCATAATGAGTCTTCCCTAAATATTAAAACTGAGCTAGAATCCAAACTGCAGAGCATTCCACAAAATAACTGACCTATAATATAAATGTGTCAGGTCTTAAGAGTCAAAGAAAGAGGAACTGTTCCAGACTGAAGGAAGCTAAAGAGACATAAAAACGAAATGTGATTCTTTTTGTTACAAATGACAATATTCAAACCTGGGACAATCTTGAATGAAGGCTAAGAATTAGATAATTTTACTGGTTGTATAGTGGTTATGTAGGAGGATGTACTTCTTTGTAGAAAATGCAAAGTCAGGTGTTTAGGAGTAATGGCATACTAAGCAATTTATGATCCACCAGACAAAAAGTTTCTTTGTTATTAATCTTGCAACTCTTCTTTAGGTTTGAGGTTTTTTTTTTTTTTTTAAGTATTCTTAAAAAAAACTAATAAAAGGTCAATAGAAAAAAGATCTTGATTAGAGAATAATTTGGCAACATGCATTAAGAATCTTCAAAAAGAGCACACCTTTGGATCTAGTAATTCTACTTTTAGCAATTTTTCTTGAGGAAATAATTAGCTATGTGCACAAAAATGTATGAACAAAGATATTTGTGGTCACACAATTTATAACAGGAAATAACAAAAGCATAAACTAAATGTTCAACAGTAAGAACTGTTAACTAAACTGTGATGCAGTAATAAAACAGAATACCATATAGTTATTAATGATCACAGTGTTGAAGAACAGGCTCAGAAAAATGCTGACTATACAGTGTTAAATACCAAGGTTATCACTGGGGAAAAGTCACCAAAATTTTATTTTCTATATTTTTAAAACATTGTTTTACATTGAGCTTTGATAAAAAGGGAAAAAAGATAAGAATGAGTAGTTTTTATAAAGTTTCCCAGTAGCCTGCAAAAACTGTCCATTTATATCCCTACTTCTTCTAAGCATAGTTAATACTTTGTTATCAATTAATGGAATTTATAATGATTATTTACCCTAAACTCATTTCTAAAGTGCTTCATGCCAAACTCTCCAAATAAAGCTGTCTTGAGTTTAAGTTGTCTGAACTCCCTTACTTCCTTCACCTCCACTTTCTATAAGCAGATGAGGAGGGTTTCCAGATGCTACAGGAATTTAATCAACTTGAACCAGCAGCCTGTTTTACAGCCTTCTGCCTTGCAGCCTGCTCTTTCCCACACTTTGTACGGAATGTGGTCACCTAGTCAGCTGGAACCAGCTCCGGACAAACTGACAATTTATAAATGAGCCCAAGTAAAGTTTCCTCATTACCATGCTGAAGTCTCCACCACGGGAGGAACTATAGCTTCATTACTATAACTTGAAACCTACGTGCTGACATAATGATTCACTGTATCTGTACCACTGGGACCCCTCCTCTACATGCGATGACACACCCTCTCCCTGTCCACCTCCCCATAAAACCCTCCTGTTGCTTTCCCTCAGGAAGACACTCGGCTACAGAATACTCCCAGAGCTCTCTGTACTTGTGACTAGTAATAAAACTCCCATTGATCAAAACCTGTTTTTTTTTTTTTTTTTTTTTTTTTTTTTTTTTTTTTTTTTTTGAGGTAGGGAACTCACTCTGTTGCCCAAGCTGGAGTGCAGTGGTGTGATCTCCACTCACTGTAGCTTGGACCTCCTGGGCTCAAGTGATTCTCCCACCTCAGCCTCCTGAGTAGCTAGGACTACAGGCATGTGCCACCATGCCCAGCTAATTTTTAAGTTTGTACAAAGTTTCCCCATGTTGCCCAGGCTGATCTCGAACTCTTGGGCTCAAGCGATTCTCTCAAAGTGCTAGGATTACAGGCATGAGCGACTGGGCCAGCCAAAACCTGCATTCTGGTGAAGAGTTGTTTGTTCTTGCCAGGCAAAGGAACCAGGTTTTTTTCAAGTAACAAATCCTAACAAGACATGAACTTTATTCTTCATTTGAAAGTTTCTTACACATATTGTAGCTGCACCAGACCAATCTGGTTCAACTTTTATGTAATAATGTTATGACTTGTTTCTCAGTTGCCATGGACCCTCACGTCACATAGGCTGACCATGCTCAGATGAACCAATGGTGCAACCACAGGAGGAATCTAAATGCTCAGCTGAGAAGCAGGAACTGAATTAAGCAGCAGATATGATGATAAAGTTTGGATGTTTGTCCCCTCCAAATCTCATGTTAAAATATGACCCCAATGTTGAGACGGGTCTAATGAGAGAGTCCCATGAATGGCTTAGTGCCCTTCAAGAGGAAATGGCTGATAATAAGTTTACACGAGATCTGGTTGTTAAAAAGAGTCTAGCACCCCCTCCCTTCTCCCCTGCTCACTCTCTTGCCATGTGACACACCTGCTTCCCCTTGCCTTCTGTCATGAGTAAAAGCTGAGATCTCGGGTGATTTCTGCATTTTCAACTGAGGTACTGGGTTCATCTCACTGGGGAGTGCCAGACCGATCGGTGCTGGTCAGCTGCTGCCTTCGACCAGCGGAGGCTGAAGCAGGGCGAGGCATTGCCTCACCTGGAAAGGCGCAGGGAAGGGAGATCCTATTTTCCTAGCGGGGGAACTAGAACCACTACAACACCTGGAAAATCGGGTAACTCCACCCCAAACTCGCTTTAAGCAAACAGGCACACCAGGAGATCATATCCCACACCTGGCCAGGAGGGTCCACACCCACAGGCCTCCTCATTGCCTAGCACAGCAGTCTGTGATCTACCGGCAAGGCAGCAGCGAGGCTGGGGGAGGGCGCCCGCCATTGCTGAGGCTTAAGTAGGTAAACAAAGCTGCTGGGAAGCTGAAACTGGGTGGAGCTCACAGCAGCTCAAGGAAACCTGCCTGTCTCTGTAGACTCCACCTCTGGGGACAGGGCACAGTAACAATAACAAAGCGCAGCAGCTCTGCAGAGGCATAGCAGCTCTGTCAGCGGCACAGAGAGCGGTGGATCTCCCAGCACGGAGGTTGAGATCTGAGAAGGACAAAACTCCTGCTCAAGTGGGTCCTGACCCTGAGTAGGCTAACTGGGAGACATCCCCACTGGGGAGCAGTCTGACACCCCACACCTCACAGGGTGGAGTACACCCCTGAGAGGAAACTTCCAAAGCAAGAATCGAACGGAAATTGCACTCGCTGTTCAGAAATATTCTATCTTCTGCAGCCTCTGCTGATGCAGGCAAACAGGGTCTGGAGTGGACCTCAAGCAATCTCCTACAGCTACAACATACAGCTGAGGATCCTGACTGTTAGAAGAAGCTATCAAACAGGAAGGACACCTACACCCAAAACCCCATCAGTACATCACCATCATCAAAGACCAGAGGCAGATAAAACCACAAAGATGGGGAAAAACTGAGGCAGAAAAGCTGGAAATTCAAAAATAAGAGCGCATCTCCCCGGCAAAGGGGCGCAGCTCATCGCCAACAACGGATCAAAGCTGGGCCAGAATGACTTTGATGTATGAGAGAAAGAAGGCTTCAGTCCATCAAACTTCTCAGAGCTAAAGGAGGAATTACGTACCAGCGCAAAGAAACTAAAAATCTTGAAAAAAAAAAAAGTGGAAAGAGGTGATGGCTAGAAGTAATTAATGCAGAGAAACTCTAAGCAAAGAGAAATGAAGAGAGCGAAAACCATGGCACGAGGGAAATCGTGACAAATGCAAGCTTCAGTAACCGACTCGATCAACTGGAAGAAAGAATGTCAGCGATGGGGATCAAATGAATGAAATGAAGCGAGAAGAGAAACCAAAGAAAAAAGAAGAAAAAGAAATGAACAAAGCCTGCAAAAGTATGGGATTATGTAAAAAGACCAAATCTACGTCTGATTGGGGTGCCTGAAAATGAGGAAAATGGGGCAAGTTGGAAAACACTCTTCAAATTATCATCGGAGAACTTCACAACTTCCCTAGTAGGGCAGGCCAACATTCAAATCCAGGAAATAAAACGCCACAAAGATACTCCTCGAGAAAGCAACTCCAAGACACATAATTGCCAGATTCACCAGAAAGTTGGAAATGAAGGAAAAAATGTTAAGGGCAGCCAGAGAGAAAGGTCAGGTTACCCACAAGGGAAGCCCATCAGACTAACAGCAGATCTCTCATGAAGCTCTTCCAAGCCAGAAAGTGGGGGCCCAATGATATATTTACAAAAAGATTTTTTTAAATAAATTTTATATAAATAAACTAAATTATAAGTAGAAGAATAAAATTATTTAAGATGTTAGCAATACTGATTTTGCCACCTGGTCTGCCTTACAGAGACCCCTGAAGGAAGCACTAAACATGGGGAAAGGAACTTAACCCGGTACCAGCCATTGCAAAAACATGCCAAAATGTAAAGACCATCAAGGCTAGGAAGAAACTGCATCAACTAACGAGCAAAATAACCAGTTAATATCATAATGGCAGGATCAAGTTCACACTTAACAATCTTAACCTTAAATGTAAATGGACTAAATGCTCCAATTAAAAGACACAGACTGGCAAACTGGATAAGAGTCAAGACCCATCAGTCTGCTGTATTCCAGGGGCCCATCTCACACGCAGAGACATACATAGGTTCAAAATAAAGGGATGGAGGAGAAGATTTACCAAACAAATGGAGAACACAAAAAGCGGGGAGTTGCAATACTAGTCTCTGATAAAACAGACTTTAAACCATCAAAGATCAAAAGAGACAAAGAAGGCAATTACATAATGGTAAAGGGATCAATTCAACAGGAAGAGCTAACTATCC